AGCCGCCAATTTGAGTCCTTTATTATAAGCCGCTGCATAGTGTGCGGCATGTCAAAGGCGCACAGAAAGGTACCTATAGTTCCGCAATTAAATCTGAGAAGTAGCGGGATAGGGTTGCCATCTTCTCTTATTAGATCGGTTTTGTTCTTAAAGCCGGACTAAGTCAAATCTCTCGCGAAGCCGTAAAACAATATTACCGTAGTAGACAGTAATATTAGTTCACGGCTTCGCGAGGGTTACTGCCTAATTATTCAGAGGGTGCGTTAAGCAAAAATCACTAACTTTCAATTGATTTTGTAGTAAGACGTAACATACAAATAAGCGGTAATTAAAGATAAGATAACTACATCATAATTTTAACGCTTTTATCACAGCCAAAACGTGAATTCATAAAATAAGGCTTGATCGTAACATCAAAACTGCACAACCTATTTTGAAAAAGGTTTTTTTTATAAAGTAATTTCGGAGACTATACGATGCAAACAAACTAACGATTTGTATTCAAATTTCGCAAATGCCCGTGCAACACTGCGTCTTTTTGGGTATTTGACGTTTTTCGAATTTGTGTGTATTCATAGTTTATTTGATATAGCTTCGGCACAGGTATACCAAAAACCTATGAAAACTATACCGCCGGACATGTGACATTAACATTTAGCTGCACACGATCTAAAAAGTCAAACATGTCCCGCTAAAGACGGATAGATGACAACCCTAGACAGGCGGCAATGTTAAAGTTTGAGCCTAAACTTCTAGTTGCCTAGTACCGAGGTGATCAACATTTTATTGTACAAATTAAAAAAATCGTCGCAGGACATTGTTGCAACTAATTTTTTTACATACGTACGTAAGTACATAATACGTTACGTATTATGAACGTTACGTATTAGGAATTGTTAATTGACAAAGATTTTGTAAATTTTTATTGTTGTTGATAAGATAGTACATGGTTGTATTTTTAGTATTTACAAATTTAAACGTTGTTAATGTTTGGTAAAGACTAGTTTAAGTGAGAAATGTGATATACTTTCACGCTGCACCTGCAAACGAGCATGCTTGGCTCAGTCTGTAGAGAGGAAGTAGCATCGACTATCATAAGACATCGTTAAATAAATAAATTAATGTATTTCGTGGGCCGTAGTAATCTACATACAATCAACATACCTGTTTAAAATTTTAATTCATTTTATACACCTTTTCTATTTTGAACTATTTGTCAAATAAATGACCATTTGTTTGTTAGCTGTGTCGGTCGTTTTAGGGCTTTTTCTATTTAAGGAAATAGGTAAACAGTACATAATAAAACGTCTCATTCATTTTCATTTCTTACAGCATTAAAATAGTGAATCCTATACTCTGATTCTAAAATTCAGTTGAATAGCCCACAGTAATAAAATAGATAATAAATTAAAATCCGTACCAAATGTTTACTACTACCGTATCTAGCGTCAAGTAGTCACTCGCGCGCGACATCACACAAACACGAACGATAATGTTTCGTTTCTTTCTTTCTCTCTCTTTCCCTCCCTCTCTATCTCTATCTTACGTCATTGTACACTCGGAGGAATAAGTGAATTTGTTTTAGGCTCGATTTTACCGATTATGTATTGATTTGTCTTACGTATTTAAATACCTAAACAATAAAAAATATTTTTAAGAGTTAAGCTAATGAAGTTATTTCTTAGCACCGGATACAACCCTTCCTGCGCGAGTCCAACTCTCACGTGGCCGGTTTTTTTTTTATAATTAGTTGTTAGCAGTTTGATAAAACTAGGACTTTTGACTAGTGAAATATAAAAAAACTTCAGTTATTGAGAATATTCAGTTGAGATTTTATACTTTCCTCAATTCAGAAAGCGGCTCTTTGTCGACATTTTTTCTTGTCAGACGCTTTTAAGATACCTAAGTGTAGTGCATAATTATCATTAACTCTAAGGTAGCAATCCATTTTACTTGAAACAATTTACATGTAGTAAGAGTAAGTGGTTGAAACCATAATCGGGAATGATCATATTCCCGATTAAGGTTCATATTCCATTTTAAGTCTGATCTTTTTATTGTAAAAATATTAGAAAAGAAATAAATTGACCATAAACACAATTGAAATATGTGCACGAATATTGATCAATGTTTCAATTTATTCCCCGACTGTATCTGCGCTGACGTCATATTAGGTTTACTTTCGTAACAGAAGATTGTAGGTACGAGTACCAGGTTATCATGATTTAAAGACACGATGTGTAAAAATTCTGGTTCAAAGATGAAGCAGCTACAGATAGACAAAGTTACCTGGAAGACACTCAGTGATATACGTCGCCTACTTTCATAATATTGTAATTATTTTCATAAAAATGAAACTACCTAATTATGAAAAAAAATTGTTCGTGCAATAACGAATATTCTACTTATCTAGAGGTCGCGATATTTCTTCTTCCTCTGCTTCTCTATTTGTTTAGATTAGATGAAATTGATTTTATGAGTACATTATTGAGTGACGTGTCGTAGCATTAATTATAAAGATTATTATTTTGGATGGGCCGTCTACAGTTCGTAAAGAGATATTGTACGAGCATTTCAGGCGAAAGTATTTAATCCAGTGCAGTGACTATAGCGTACTGTTTATTGTTTGTTTCCGTGCCTGATATGTGCGTAGCACGGGCATAGTAATATTGGAAAGGGAGCTCTAATCTGAATAAAAACGAATTTTGGAAATAGTTTTAAAATAATGTTTTCGTGTAATATTTTGCATGTTCGAATATTTGCGTATGTACACATAACTAGATAAATTATTTCGCTGTACTGTGACGTAGGCACTAAATACCAGTAGATATAACCAGTCTGGCAAAATAATAGTCTTTGATTTAGAAGTCAATGAACTGAAACAGCTGATCATAATGTCGGTGTGCTTCGATAAATGGTATCGAAAATTTTGCTAAACTTCGATATTGTTTTTTTCAATAAATACAATGGCTACGATATAAAGGACAGCGTCTATTATCTCAGTTTTATGTATACTCAATGCCATTTTCGGGGTAACGGGTTTTTTTGTAACACGCGGTATAGGTATATGAATTCTAAACTTAATATCCAACTTTTTCTCAGCTTCATATTAACAAAGACGATTTAATAAACAAATAAATGATTTTATCCAAACCTACCACATGGCAGCCCCTGTTATTGCCGATCCTCCATATCCACCAGTACCCCGTTGCCCGCGCCTCCCTCCCTGCGGAGACACACAATGCGGGGATCTTTAATAGCATACGCTCTAAGTGTCGGTTCTTATTACATAATATTAAATTTGTCATTGTACTAATTGATTATTTCATTGTCCTCAGGTTACAAGCTCGTCCCAGTCAACAGTTCAATGTGATCAGACGTATATACCAACAGGACACACTCAACAAAGATGCTGATTATCACATACCAGAAAAACCATGTAAGTTGAAACAACAGAGCAGATGAAACTTAATTTGCGTTGGAAGTTTCCTAGTCATCAAATGATATAACAACTACATTATACTATAAGAACACTAGAGTCGCTGTTTTGAATTATGTAATTTAACACGGCAATAAGAAGGCAAGGTCCTTATTTAATTTCACATGATATCTCTAATTTTTATGATGTGAGTATTATTAAAGTTTTTATTAATTGATTTTGGAAATAAGGCCGTCTTAGATTTTCCCACCTTTTCTCCCATTTTGTTATAAAATTTAATTGTTCAAAGTTTCATTCTAGTAACTAACTCAAATACCTAAGCATATTTTTATAGTTAAGTTTAATTAATTAATGAAATAAAAGCTTGTATAAATCACTCATCATCCACTGCTGACATGTAGTAGACTGCTGATGTAGACACCTTCATTATGGATGTAATTAGTAAGGCCCGTAATGCAAATGCAGTAGTAAGTAGATATTATTTACGACTGCAGATGATACTGTGACCAACTGCGTACGAGCACGGAGAAGTTCGAGATCATAAATATTATAAACTTGTGAGAAAATTTCTAAATATGTCTTGAGCTCATAACAGTAGATGATTAAGGTGCTATAATATTTCATCTTAAGATAACACACGCGGTTGAGATACAATAATATTTTGTAACCCCTTCTAAATATATATTTCCGTATCTTAAGATATCATCTTTATTCTATTTTAACCTGCGAAATATATATTACCGTATCGCTTGGCATCTTAATATGAAAATATTATATTATCTTAACCGTGTTAGACCAATAGATTGTATGGCGAGCAATATTTTATCTTAAGATACCGTTACAGTCTCTTCACCGTATATTACGAGCTTATCATAGATACAGCAGATTCTATAAAAAATTATAATATGCACAAAATGAATAATCCATTACCTTCCAGTGGGCGCTCGATGTAAAAAGGTGATGAAAGGCTGCGGCTTTGGCGATTGCTTAGTGAACTCTGTGCCGATAGCGAAATGGCTCCCCAAATACGACTTGAAAAAGAACCTAGTCGGAGACCTGGTAGCCGGCTGCACTACTGCCGTTATGCACATACCGCAAGGTAAGACTATACTAATATTTTGTTAGTAAGGCGAAAAAACGGATAAAAGCACAAAGTATTATGTCAGCTTTGAAAGTAAATGATATCGATATCCATAGAACTGAATCGTTTCTAATAAAGAGATATAGTCGCGTCCCCAACAAAACGATTTTTCTTTCGTCGCTCACATAATATTTGTGTAATTATTTTATTTTTTTGCCTGCCCTAGGGATATGCTATATCTTACAATAATCTATTAAAATAACTGAAATCAATTAAAGAATAAATGCAAATATCAAGACTGTTTCTTATGCAGTGCTGTTAATACGGGATTGGAGCAGTCCTTGCAGAATCCCTACCTTATTTCTTCAAATGACAGTACATTGGGGAGTTAAGTAGATATACCATCTGCTTTTTGACTAGTCTTCTTGTGGGTTAGGTTGGCTAATGTCGGAGAATATTACATTCCCTACCATACGTGAAATGGGTAAATTAAAACACAGGTTTGAATTATTGACAATCTTCCTTCCAGGAATGGCATACGCTATGTTAGCCGAAGTGCCTCCAATAGTGGGTCTATATATGGCTTTCTTCCCAGTACTAGTTTACGTCATCTTCGGTACGTCACCGCATGTATCGATGGGGACTTTTGCCGTTGCATGCCTAATGGCGGGAAAGGTACTTGGTAACTTTATCGTTTTATAGAATGTGTACTATGAAATGAAATGTATTATGAAATTATGAAAACTAAGCATTCCTCTGATGAGCATGGTAATACAAATTTTATTTAATATTTTTAACAATTTATCGTTCTGCTTTGAATATTTTATAAGCAGGACTCCAGGGATCCTATCTGGGACCATAGGTAATAACCCGGAATCCAAAAGATTATTAAGATATCTGATTACCTATGTTATCTGTCCATCGGTTGACTGTCTGTCCGTCACGGTTTATCTCTCTTGAATCGAAATAGATAGACATTTGACAAATGACATTTATTACATCAAGATACGCTTACTGGTATTTACACATTTAGATGAACTTTACGGTACGTTAAGAAGAACTTACATTGATAGTATCATTACAGAAGATTTGAGGTTGTGTTATCGAGTATTATACCAATAAAATGGTGTATTAAGAGTCTAGAAATCAAAATCATTATATCGATAGCGTGTAAATATAATAGGCCTCTCAACCAATAAAGTTTGAATGAATATTTTTTTACAGGTGGTAACACAACATGCTACGATGCGTTTTGATAATGTTGGGGTAGTAAATGGAACGATAAATGAAGATGTATCTGGTGAGTTTTCGATTATTGTAAATATTATTTGAACCGTTAAATCTTTGACATCCAGCCAGTATTGTATTGAGTAAATTTTTATTTATTTACTGGCGTTATTTGAAAAAGTCTAACTTGTACAACAGTCAGGTTGCAAACTTTTATTGGATTTAACTTTTATTACGTTTTTCTGTCCCACAGTTACATCAATGAATGGACACACACCATTGGAGGTGCTGAGTATAGTGTGCCTAGCGGTAGGAATATTCCAGGTAAGTCAGAATGTATACCTTCTCTTAAATGTCATCTAAAATTCAACAAAATTTCTATTCGCTGTAAAAATTTATATTAGTAAAATTGCTATCAATATTTACGAGTGCAATAGTTTGCGAATGTCCGGAACCTGTTCTTGGTTGTGTTTTCTCACTTTATCAAGAGGACATCACCAATGCCTTGGGCACTTAATCTGACCACCGCTTGGAGTTTCGACCTATAGCTCATTTTCCTTCAACTTTCCCAGTGAGCTTCAGATGCTCCAACTATTTATAAACGTCAAACGTCATTCCGTGAGCAAAGAGTAAAGTTATCACGAGCAACAGTAGCAAATTAAATTAAAACTTTTTGTGCGTATAATTACAAGGAGTGTAATTTTATCCAATAATAGCATAATGTCTGCTAGTTTGGAAAGAAGAAAAAAGGAAATCACTCATTTCTAAAAAAAATTGTTTCCTATATGTGCTAATGCTGCCATCTACACCGAGCTTGTGTAAAACTCGCCACAGACGGTTAAGATTGTGGTTAAGATGCTTAACATTTCATCTTAAGATATAAGATAACATATTTTAACTTCTTAAGCTATCGTACATGGTTAAGATATGGTATTTTGAAACCTTTTATGAATATATATTTCCGTATCTTAAGATAACCTACGTAACACATATTTCTATATCGCTTGGCATCTTAATATACTTATTATATTTGATCAATTTCGCATTCATAATTATTATAATATGAAAAGTATTTTTAGTGCAAAATGCTTAAAAAATCTTAAAGAGATGGGATTCGAACTCACGAACTTTCGCAATCCGGGCGACTGCTCTAACCGCTGAGCTCTGTAGTAGCGAAAAGTAACAAGTGCTTGAAAGATTCGTCAGTCCTGTTAGGTCCTGGGTAGCTCAGTGGTTAGAGCAGTCGCCCGTATTGCGAAAGGTCGTGGGTTCGATTCCCATCTCAGGGTGTCATGGACCAAGTGGATTTTTTAAGCATTTTGTATTAAGAATATTAATATACTTAATATGAAAATCTTATAAGTGTAAAAATATTTGCCAGTATAGCATTGTGAATGCAAAATTGATCAAATATAATTATGTTATACTAGCTTTCGCCAGCGGCTTCGCCCGCGTGGACCCTAGGGAAATGTTTAGTGGGATAAAAAGTATCCTATTATCTAAGTCAGCTAACACCCTATCTGTATACCAAATTTCATCAAAATCCGTTCAGTAGTTTCGGCGTGATTGACGTACAAACATCCAAACATCTAAACATCCAAACAAAGAAACTTTCACATTTATAATATTAATAGGATTATCTAACGGTCGGTTACACAAACGTCCATTAAGGTTTAATGACGCCTTTAAGCTCTAATGATTGTCAAATTCGTATCGATAGTATGTTGCTTTAAACTAATGACCGTGTGTGATGGGCCATCGGATTCTGTGGCGAGCGATATTTTATCTTAAGATATAATATTATTACGAGCTTTACCGTTTATTACGAGCTTGGTGTATACACCTCTTAATGTTGAAACATTGTTTGGTGCAGGTTCTGATGTGGATACTCCGGCTGGGCGCTGTGTCCACGTTACTGTCAGAGCCTCTGGTCTCCGGATTCACCACTGCCGCGTCGTTACATGTGCTCGGCTCGCAGCTGAAAGATTTGTTCGGAATCAAACTGCCCAAGTTGCCTTCCAACTATAAAGTTGTTCTGGTAAGTTGGAGTAACAAGTTGGAGTTGTACATTCCCATAGGTGAAAGTATTTTTAAAATCAGTCCAGTAGTTTCGAAGCCTATTCGATGCAAAAAAAACAATCAAATCTTTCTCTTTATAATATTAATAGATTTAGGCAGTGGCGTAATAATACCGTTTGAGGCCTGTCTACATTCATCGGATATTCATTTTTTTACTAATTGCGTAATAATAAATATCAGGAGTAAGGAGTTTCCTCTCAGCTGGAGGCCCGTGGTATTTTGCCGACTTGCCACCCTATTGTTACGCCACTGGATTGAGGTCACCTAAATATTTATGTAAATTCGATCATTGGATGAAAGGACATAAGATATAGGTTCATTCGATAGCACGTTAGACTATATAAAACTGTCAAATTTCCCCACTCGATTTGAAACCTAAATACATTGATGGTAGAAGTCAAAATCCATTACAGAAATTTAACATATTATGATAATCTGACGCGCAGTGTATTTTATAAATTTGAGCAGATCAATGATCTCTGAATTTATATCAAGATTATTCTAGGTTATTTGTGAGCATAAAAGTTTACCCCTTTGTTATAAAGAAGTGTATAAGATTACCTTGCTGAGAGGTAATCTTATACAGAAGAGGCAGGCAATATTTTTTTACAATAGTGAAAAACCTCGATATATAAATATGATAGTTATTTTCCATTTCTATCAATATTTGTTACTGTTTTGTATATTATATTACTAATTAATGAAAAAATACCATTCTAGCTGATTTCCCGCTAATTTCACCATGTAAATTATAATCTAACTCACCTGTATATGATAGTTTCCTGTAGGCATTTTTTTTTTAATGGATTAAGTAGTTTCGGAGCATAGCAAACAAACAAGTCTTCCCTCATTATAATATCTATAGTATAGTTATAGTTTAGATTGTATTTCAAGAAAAAATATAATTCAACATATCGCACACCTAGATCTAAACTAAGACAACTCAAAAAACTAATGTGGAGGTCTGACAATACATTTGTTTACGTGGCAGGAACGCGACCACTGTTGATTCGACAAAAGAAAGCTAAAGTTATCAAGCGGCTCATCCTCGAACCTTTATTGAATCTGTTATATTGGATAAATGCGTATGATCACCGAGAATTTGAATATTGTACAAAGTCAAAACTCACTCAAATTTTTGAGTTGTCTCAGTTTAGATCTAGGTGTGCGATATGATGTATCCTTTTTTCCAGACAGTGTATGAGATATTCAAAAACATAATGAATTTAAATGTAGCCGCAGTTACAATATCAATAATATCATGTGTCATTATCACACTCAACAATGAACTGTTAAAGGTAAGACATTTCTTTAGAGCTTTTTCGAAATACATTTTTTAGTTCTTGTAAAATAGCTGTAATTTGCACATAAGTTTATTTCCTAATTTATTAAACGCATGTCGTGGCAGCTTGTAATTAAAACTTGCTTGAGCCACTATCTCTAGTACTAACTGTTACCTTGTGTATGTTTTGTAAGTTGTCCTAATTAAATAAATAAAAAAATAAAAAATAAAATACCTTTATTCAGATTTTTGGCATGAATTTTACTCATTAATTGATATTTGTCATAATATTATTGCAAAGCAAAATAAATATTTTTTTGTGATCGTAGAGTGGTAGAACATATCTTTGGCCGATTATACTATAATGTACATACATACATACACTTGTGGTTCTAATATATGTAATTACCAATTTTGAAACATGAAAATCTACTTAAACTTGTATAATATTCCAGCCTTGGGTTAGCAAGCGGAGTCGGGTGCCTGTGCCTATAGAACTAATGGCAATTGTAATTGGAACATTGGTGTCGAGATTTTGGGGACTTAAAGAGCAATTTGGCATAAAACTCGTGGGCTCTATCCCTACAGGGTAAGTATCATCAATTGTTATAAATAAGGTTTACTTTGTATTACCATAAACCTATGAATTTATTCTTTGGGGGCCGATTATAAATTGAGTATTAACCTTTTTATGTAAAATAAAGTAATTAATTGTACTACCACAAAGTTCTTAATCATTTGTATTATGGAGTATTTGAAACGAAGGTACCACAACACCCATATCGAAGACAATATAGTCAAGTTCATTTTCTACGTTGACTCAGCCTGTATTCGAATCACTGACCTCAGATATGGTGAGGCAGATGTGCCACTCTCCTAAAGAGGTCGTAAATGTTTAAAACATTTGTTGAGATCTCATAATTACATTACTAATATTATACTCTTTCACGCAACAATATTTGCACGGATTTTGATGAAATTAGGATAATTCTAAATCTGAATTAGCTTCTATGTTACTATTTTTCTCACTAAATGATTTCCAAGAGACCACGCTTGCGAATTTGCTGACTTTCATATTGTTTTTTTTTATTCATTATGTTGATACAGATAAATCAGGCAATCAGGACGGTTACTAGCTGTTTTCCCGCGACTTCGGCCGCGTAAATTATGACTTATATCACCCGTGTATAATTTAGATTCCCGTAGGTGAAAGAATTTTTAAATCAGTAAAGTTTTTTCGGAGCCTATTCAATGCAAAGATACTATGAAATCTTTCATATTTATAATATTAGTATAGATAATATAATTTTACGTGATATAAACAGTCTGCCAGTGCCGAAAGTGCCGAGCATGGAATTGTTCCCGGAGATTGCCATAGACGCCCTCACCATCACCATGGTGACATACACAATATCAATGTCCATGGCGTTGATTTTTGCAGCCAAGGAGAAGTATGAGATTGACGCCAACCAGGAGTTACTCGCTTTGGTGAGTGATTTTTTGTTTTATAACCAGTGGCGTAACTATACCGTTTGAGGCCTGTGGCAAATCATTTTTTTTCCACTAATTGTGTAATAATAAAACAAGGAGTCTCCTCTGACCGGGGCCCCCTCCAGCTGGGGGCCCTTGGCATTTTGCCGACTTGCTACCCTGTGGTTACGCCACTGTTTATAACAAAGAAAGTGCAGTAATTGATGACACTAGGCACAAAGTAACAATCTGCCTCTTATTATTTTACTATAGTAAAACTAAAAATGTGAGTCGTCTTGTGACCAATAGCTAGAAACTTGAAAATACCTAAAGTACTAAAACTACAATTTGTATTCATGTATACAGGGCTATGTTTAAAACATCAAAAACCTCGCATGGCTAAGATCATAAATAACCATGCTTGTTTTATTAACAAGGATGATGCCTGAGTATAAGAAAAACACATTATATTGAATCCATCAGTCAGATACTGAATAGTAATAAAAATTGGAACCTACGTATTTTTTTCTTACGAATTAACAAAAAATATTAGATAATGGGTATTAAAGTTTAGGAGCTCACTATGTATTACTTTACATGTAGAAAGCCAACAAAGGCGTGACATCTGTGACATTTCTACTCAATGTATTTCCTCAATTAATCTTAACCTTGCGGGATATTATTTTTATAATATTTTAACAATAAATCTTCTTACCTGACGAACAAAAAAAATCTAGTCTCATATATGTACTTTACACATACACACAGTGTAGTACTGTAATTTCGTTTATGAATAAAACATAGATGTATAAATATCGCAATTGTGCAATAAAAACTTGAATAATATTTTTTGTTAAAATTATTAAATAATGGTTAAACTCGTAAATCAAACAATGTTATCTCTCCGGTCATGTGTGGTTGCTGGAGTTTTGCAAATAACCCTGTATTTATGTACATTGCCCGGAAGAAATTGCTTTTTAGCAATAAGGCCGCCAATTGTATTGTTCTGTTACATTATTATGTTTGTTCATTTACTTATGTTTTTTACAATAAAGTCTTTCATTCATGATTTCTTTGTATCAGTCTGAAATATAGATATTAATCGAAAATGTACTTTGTCTATAGGGCGCTAGCAATGTTTTTGGTTCATTCTTTGGATGTGCTCCCATGTGCGCGAGTCTTTCGCGGTCCTACATACAATATCAGGTAAATGTTAATTAAGAAACATCAGTATGTAATAAAATCAATGTTTATTTTATTTGATAAATTAAGTATTTGAAATATCCATAATTCCGCATAAAAAAGTATTTCAACTGTAAAAGAAACTGACTATATTTTTTAAGATCTATCTCACACATTACAAAGCTCACTTCACATCTTTCTGTCTTATAAGATTCACCTGAAACGATCTGTTTCGTAGACTAATAAAACGTTTTGGTTTTTTACTTAGGCGGGCAGTAAAACTGGTCTTACATCGGTTATAAGCGCGGTACTAGTTTTGTTCGTGTTGCTATGGGTGGGACCGTTCTTCGAGCTTCTGCCGCGTTGTGTACTCGCCAGCATCATCGTCGTCTCACTCAAGGGCATGTTCGTGCAAGTCACCGAGCTCTCCAAGTCAGTCAATAAATTTTAAACCAAATATTGAAAGCAAAGTTCAAAATTTGTCATTTTATTGTAACATGATATTTTGCTGAGTCTTATACGGTCAGTTGCACAAACGTCCATTAAGGTTTAAGGACGCCTTTAAGCTCTAGTGAATGTCAAATTTGTATGAGTAATGTCGCTTTAAACTAATGACAATTTAATGGACGTTTGTGCAACTGGCTGATAGTTTACGATATTTATCATAGTAATGTGAACCTGAGATTCGGCTGATGTATGAATATTAGTATTCAAAATACTTTTGATAGTTCATAAGGTAGATCATTTTTATCGAAACATCAATACTGATTTTAAATTTGCATACAAAAAAAAATCTACTTTTTGAACATCACAATTTTATTGATCTCACATTAACGAATGTTCTTATACGGTCAGATGCAGAAACGTCCTTAATGGTTTGATGACGCCTTTAAGCTCTAATTAATAACAAATTTGTGTGGGTAATGTCGCTTTAAACTTATAATTTAATGGACGTTTGTGCAACCGGCTATTAATCTGTTAAAATAAAATATGTATATTAACGATCCTATCTTGAGTAGCGTCAAAAAGCTTATGAATTAGGTTGATTGGAAATAATAATCTCTGAAACAATATTACATAGGTTCTGGAGGTTGAGCAAGTTGGATGCAGTTGTTTGGTTGTGCACATTCCTAGTCACCGTTATTGTGAACATCGATATCGGGTAAGTCATACCCTAAAAAATACCCTGTCTAGTCTCCCTCTATTTGCTTTAGAAATCTGAAGATGAAACCAACCCTTGTTTCTTTTAAAGATCATAACTTACTCCAAGTTACATAAATCCTTAATATTTTTGTTGTGTACAGTCACTTTATAATAAGCATTATATCATCTTTTCTTTCTTAAAAGTAAAATAATATATGGAAATTTGTTAATAAAAAAAATAAAAAATATGCATTAGTGCCTAATTCTTGGCTGTCTTTCATCTATTTACATTTATCTATTTATGCTGACGTTCCTAATAATTTATATCTTAAAAGCAGCAGTGTATCTTTAAGGCGATAAAAATGGAATTTAGTCTAATTCAAACTCATTTATTTCATTGTATCGTGTTAAACTGTTTAATGAAATGAACCCTGATAAGGAAACTGCAATAATGTCTGTGATATCAAGTCAATAGCAACTATTATAAAATTAAATTGAAATTTAGTATCATTAGATAACTATAATGAATTACAAGCTCTATCATCATTTCCACTTATACCCAACATATGTTCACATTAACCCATAAAACATTAAAACCAGGGTTTATACTAACACAGGTTTTAACCTAACACAGGTTGGGTGCCGGAATAATAGCGAGCGTTGGGGCGTTATTCTGTCGCTCTCAAAAGACTTACACGTGTTTACTGGGACGAGTACTAGACACAGACCTATACCTGGACATCAAGAGATATCGAGCGGTGAGTTAACTATCACATTATTTACGTCTGGTTCTAAATAGGACTTGCTCGTTTAGGGTAAAAGCTCTACGTCATTCGCTTAAGGATTCGATTTATCTTCATTCAACAATAGTTACACTTCAAAGAAAATGTAAAATACTGCAATGGGCAGGGCACATAGCTCGTAGAACAGATGGGGCAGTAAAGTGCTCGAGTGGCGACCATGGAGCATGGAGCATAGGCAGGCCTCTTATAATATACACCGACGATCTGGTTAGGATAGCCGGGAATCGTTAGATAAGGATCGCGCGCGACCGATCAACGTGGCGTTTTGGGGAGGTCTTTGTCAACCATTGGACATTTTCGATCTAAATTAATGATGATGATAAACCATCTTCTGTGATATCTAAAAACTATAAAGTAGGACGCAGGAGGTTGACGGGTTGATATTTAGAAAATTTTCAGACAGGGTTTTGAGGTACCTATATATTTTTAGTAATATTAAAACACTGATTTAGTAAAACGATAAAATTGAATCATCAAATACTTGTTCTTGCGTAAGTACTTACGTTTTTATCTAATTTATCATACTTACATATCTATAATTGACTGTTACCATTGTATGAATATGTCTCTGGAATGCTGAAACTCACAGATTAAATTCAGTACTAAAAATTGACTTTTGTTCTTTGAACATGTGTCCGTGCTCGCGGAGTATTCAAAAAGTACAAAATTTTCAGACCAGCATTACCTAAGAAATTGCTTTTGTCATTGACAAAATTATACTCTATTCGGTGTACCTACATTAGCCATTTTATTTGTTGTAATTTTTTATAGGCATCCAATATATTGGCTAGAACGCTAAGATCTAATGATCTGCCTTGGCGCCATATTTTAGTTACAAGATACACTTGTACAGTAAGTTTCAACTAATGTAGCATTTGTGAATTGTCGTTGCGCAGAGTAGATTTACCAGTGGAAACGATGACTGTACTTATGAATAAAATTTCTAGTGAGTCTTGTTTCAATAACCATGAGGTAAAAAGTACAAAGCGTTTGGTGTCTGTTTCGTTTACACTCAGTGGGATTCACAAGCGTCGATATCATTGGGTCGCCCGATGGCGCGGTACTCGAATAATTCTTGTCGCATTTAGAAATTTAGCCTTCTGCGCAGGTGCCACATCACTTGTATGTACTGTACCCATGCTATAGCATGGTCGCCGAACAGAAAAAAAATCGTACAATTACCCGGCACTACATATCTCTTTCACTCGTCTGCCAAAATATTGCTTTTACGCTCGCACCAATTTAGCCAATTTTATCGTAGTAAAGTGAACTTTAAATGTTTACGATATCTATCAGTAAGCACAAAGATCGACGTGCGATATTGTCTTTTTTCGGCAACCCTGCTCTAATGATGATTTTGCCCGCCTTTTTAGTGCGATATTAATACATACTGTTTGCAATTTAATTTAATTTTTTTATTACTATAACGAGTTCCTGTTTTTAGGATTCCGTATCTCGAAAAGATAAAACGGAACCGTAGCGTTGAAGTATCAAGCTGAAATTTATATCAAATACTCATGACTACTGTCTCTTGGAGCTGCGAGAAATCAATCTTCTAAGTCAACGCAGTCAAAAGATACAGCCGTTCATGCCGCAAGTTATTGAAACTCGCAAGCGAATCAAAACCTACAGGGTACTTCCCGTGAACTGAAAATCTTGAAATTTGGGAGCAACGTCTTATCGCACAGATAAAGGAAAAATTGCGACCCACCTTAGGATACATTAAAACACTTACATGTTTACAAGTCCAAACTTATATTGCGACAAAAACACATATTGTGATGCGGGTTACAATCGCGATATCAGCATGCCTCGACTGGCCATATCTAATTCGCGATCGTCGTGTGCCAACATTATAATGAACTGAATACAGCACATGATCAGTATATGTATGAACACCACAATGATCCACTTCACTAGTCCTATGACGCTAATTTGACAATTCAACGTGTAAGGATACTTTTCGCGATGGCAGAATCTCATCTTGGTTTTTTTAATTATTTTTTATAGGTTTTGTGGCCTTAACTATGTCATTTTGGTTGTTTCTTTTTATGTGATATTTACGATCTTTCTCTTTTTCTATTATTAGTTATTTATCTGCGCATTTCTCACAATTTTGCCAATGTCAAGTGAATAAATTCATTTCTACATGTAAAATGAAATGAATTTAATATGGCGATAATTTATGACAAGTATTTATGACAGTTGTATTCAATTTACTCTGTGTCATTTGATAAAACTAAAGAGAATTAAAGCCAGCCCGCGTAGCAAGACGAACTCGAGAGAATAGAGAAACGGGCTAAACATATCTCATTCGACCTGTTTCTCACGTCTGTCGAGCTTTTCTCGAGTCTCTGGAGTTTGTCAATTCACGGGAGCAGAGCAATATATAGAAAGTCTTGCTTTTATGGTACGTCAAATATTTAGCTACTTGTTTAATTTAGGACTTGATCAATGTATGTGATGTTGTTCTAATATTATTTTCTTATATATTTATAGGCGGAAGAACTTCCTGGAATCAAAATTTTCCATTACTGTGGAGGTCTGAATTTTGCTACCAAGAATTTATTCAGAGCAACTCTGTTCCGTAAAATCGGTTACTTGAAGCCTGCTATGCCTCTGCCTGATGAAGATCACACCCTGACCAAGAGCGAGTCTTATGAATGGGATCCCACTATTGGAAATCGGGTGAGTTGTTCCTTATTACTATCTTTCTTTGATATGATCAAATGTTTTACGTAACGCCATGTCTACATCAAATTTATAGCATTAACTCCAGTTTTTCACGCACACAATTTTGGTGGCAGGTACAATGCGTCATAATAGACGCGACGGCATTATCGTATGTGGATGCGCCAGGAATCAAGACTCTGGTAGCAGTTCAGAAGGAGCTAGCCTCCAGTAATATAATTGTTCTACTAGCTGGTGCCAACGGTAAATATACATTATAATAATCATGAAAATATCAAAATAATGCAACTTTTCATCATCCAGTATTTTGTATCATCATAATCAGTCTAATAATGTCCCCGCTACTTTGGCACAAACCTCCTCTATGGATGGAATTGAATAAGGAGATTAGGTCATGACCTAGTGCGGATAAGTGCAGACTAGCCGGGACCAATTCCTGACGTGCCTTCTAAAGCACGGAAGAGCTAGATATAATAAATTGTTGGTCACCCATCAGTGACTGGCCATTGCGAACTTTGCTTAACTTCCATCCTAGGGACCAAAAACGCAAATTCTCCATCGATCCTCGTATGTCATTAGCTTATTATTAGTTATATTAATAAAATAAAAAACTTGCTGCTTATGGGTTGTCTTAAAATAAAAAAATAATATGTTATTACAAATCAATTCCAACGCGTTAAAGTTTAAATTCAGTTGAACATCATGTTATAATATCATGTTTTGCTTGTTGTACTTTAAATCGTGACATTAAAATAGTAAAAAATAATATGATATAAATGATGTCTCAATGTTTTTATATCATTGTACTTTCGTTCGACAGGTCCAGTTTTAGAAATGATAGAGAAATACAATTCGTTGGAGTCAGATAGACTCCAACTCGACACTTTTCCGACTGTTCACGATGCAGTGGTTTATTATAAACTCACTGAGGCGAAGAAACACGAAGTCTCGGTGACTATGACTGCGTGATACCAGCCTTATTAGCAATGGCGTAGTAAGCCCGAGGCCTTACCGTGTAACTGAAGCCCTGATGCCAGTTGATCTGTCAGCCTGACAGATCTCCCGGGGCTTCCTTTTGAGGTATTTGTCATATAGCCGCTGGGGCCCTATCTCATATCTCAGAGCTTATAACTTAATTTTTTATCCATGATATGGTTTATTGCTATGAATTAAACTCTTTTTCTTATGCTATTAATGTGTAAATAAATAATCCTGTTGTTTTAGTTTCGAATTATATTAGAATTAATCAAAACATTTTCAATAAATTATGAAAATAGAGAAACAAATTTATATAACTAAAACCAAAATTAATTATATTAACTGATAAAACAATCAAATCAAGTAATATCTTATCAATCAACATTACTTTTAGATGTGCGATAGGTCTCCTATGCTCAAATAAAAAAAGGACCTGTACATTTAATCATGTGCTGAATATGTACGAGTATCATTATATGATACGAACGTTATTTGTTATAAATACAATTATAACACGCCTTTATTGAAATATGTGTTGTAATCAGTGTTGTTGCGATTGTGATAGCCTATGTGATACATAACGTGATACTGCTGTGCCTTACGAATCACTAACTATCGAAACTAAAGTATCGATTATCAAAAATTAAACGGTGCCATCGTATCGTCAGGAATGCAAACTACTTTAAAAATTCAAATTATAGATTTGTTTGTAACTACATCTTTCTGTCTCATAATTTTCTTAGTACTTTCAGTGTGCTGTTTTTTTTTTTTGTAAATTATAAATATCGAACGCTATGTTAATATTTGTACTTATTATAGACGGTTGAGTTTTGAAATTTTAAATTAATAAATTTAATGTTAAGAAGCAAGTTTTTAGCTTTTGTTTTCATGTAAAGTCTGGTTGATGTTTAGAGAATGCCTTATGGCATTACGTCAGCCATTTGTACATATTTACTTATGCAATAAAGTATGAATAAATACAGGCTATTTAATAATGACTGTATGTCTCGAGATATAGTACCGTGTCTAAGATGATATTCAGTAATACCTCCTATTTTTCACTATTTAAACTATATTGAAGAAAGCCGATAGCCCTATCGATAGTGTGATTATATTTTAACTATAGATAGTGAAACTATCGCTATTGCACAACACTGATTCTGAGTAATAAAGCCACAAATTCACATGTTACTTTCGGGTCGGTAACGAACTCGAATAACTTTAATATTTTTAAGATCTACTGTTCCTATCTTTAGAAATAATTATTGTGTACAAAAAAATAATAATATAGATTTGTTTCCAATTCCATACACCCGATATATTCATCTGGAGTGCGGTCATTTTGATAATCTACCTTTGTATTCTTAGATTTTTGAAACAGATATGACTTTTCAATTTTCTCGATTATAATTATAAATATATTGTTTTTATGTTTACGCCCTAGTACTTAATATCCTTAGATTCTGAAATGTAATCAAAATGTAGTTTTTGAATTTGTTATGTCACGATATTTCAAAAAAATAAGCAATAACAAAACTCATTTATGTAGTAAAAAATACTAAATGTAGAAAACAAGTTAATGTAGAAAACGAACATTTCTATATTGCCTCTGGTCTCGGCATTGTGATCGCTGGGTTTTCTAGAGAGTTTATAATACCAGGGCCTTTCCTACTCATATTGGAATCTGAGGAACGTATGTGATGTTTTCTAACATAAAAAAAAATTAATAAATTAAATCTAAATAGAGAACTAAGAACAAAACCGAGTAAGATCATATAAATTGAGTTGAGACATTCAAATAAAATGTTAAAGTTCTAAATAAAATTCATAAAAGGGAACGGGTATGATAGTAGTTAATAATAATAATACCTACATGTTGATTTGATGAATTTTGGATGTGAGAGAATTGAAATTAGGTTAATGAAAATCTCTCTCTGTTACGTAAAGTAACATACATTTTTAAACCAACAATAATAAATAAGTTTCATATTGTAAACGATTAAAACACTGTTGTATGTTGTGTCTAAATGATTGCGACGATATATATTTATGCGTTATATTTATAAGTTTCTGCACACTCAATTCTCACGCATCACATCCACTCCTTGTGCCACCAGTCAATTAAAAGAATAAAGGTGAGACTTGCTATTTTATTATATTGGTAATTATTCCAACATGTGATAAACAAAGATGTACAATATTTTTGTAAATTAATATTATCATAAAGTTAAAATTTGTATAGGTATTTTAAATACATAAGTAAAAAATAAACAAATTATATTTTTGTTGTGTATAGGAATTCAGCAAGTGGATTATTATTTAAGCATAAGAAAATGCATTTGCCATTATAGTGAGTTTTATTTATTGTTTATATTAATATTATTATTATAAACAATTATTATTATATTGAATATTTGAACGAAATTATTAATAGCGTTATGCTTAACTATTCTATTAAAATGAACTCGAAATAGAATTAGGGTTGTCGAAAAAAATCATAAAAAGTTTTTTAAAAAAGTGTTTCGCTTTTCTTCATAAAACGTACTTTAAAGATATTGTAACTAAAATAGGTTTACAGTGCATTTATGAGTAAGAGGGTAGCTTTCTTTTCTTCACACATACAAAATAAGAGATAATATTTTTTGTAGATACGTATATTGTAAAAATACTACTGTTGTCGCTTTTATGTTTTAATATTTAAATAGCTATAAAAGATTCATTTTGATATTTATTTCGACTATTTCTGTATTCGAGAACCCTAATTTTATATTTATTCTGAAAAATGTACTTAGTTATTAAGTCGGTTGTGATATTTTGTACCTAATATAATTGTATGTACTTAGTCAAATAGGTAATAAAAGTTCATATTATATTAAACCATTTTTTATTTATATTTATACTTTACTTAATTAACTACATAATTATGATAAGAATAGAAATAGCACCTCTCAGGTACTCGAGGCGCAGTTCAAACTCCGTCATCCATCACTACCTGAATGAATGACTCAAAGAGTAAAGTATATTGAAATGACTTATTAAGGGCTTATCTGCGCATTTCGCACAATGCTGCCAATGTCACATGAATCAATTAATATCTACATGTAAAAAGAAAATGAAAGATGGCGATGATCTCTCGTCAGTTAGCTCAGTAATCGTCTAACACAGCGCTGTCACGTAAGAGCTTCAGTGAAACAAAATCTTTTGAAATAGGTTTTATTTGATGAACCTCTATATTCGACAGCGCTGTGTTCGATGAGTTCGAAGCTGTTTTATAACAGTCTAGCTGTTTTTCGTCCGATGTTTTCGGAGCCTATTTAATGCAAGCAAATTAAAAAAAATTGGCCGGATCCCGTTCAAAGAATCAAAATATTATTATATGGTGCCGATTACAATTCTCTAGGGTCTAGTAGACCATGACAATATATGGCATGCAAAATAGTACGTTTATTTTATCAAGGCATTTACATATTGTAGGTTTTGGCAATTGGCATTACGCATAGTAAACTACATAGGTATATATACATAGGTATTAAAATTATTATATATATTTACGCATATTTTAAACACAATTACTACTTGGTAATGAACGTATTGCTGTGATAAATAAAAAAATTAATGATGTTATGATAATCACAAAAAGAAAAAGGCATTGCATTTGTCAAGTTGCAGAGCCGTGCAATAAACGTTTTGTGTTTTAACAATTTATGTTTAGGTGAGTAATATGCGTTATAAATACCTGTGTCACGCATTTGAGAGTATTTTTAATCACATCTGGTGTATTTTACATCATATACTTACATATAACGTAACACCTAGACATATTTTTATATTTTATTATATTTTTAGCAATATTATTATGTATGGTGCTTAGCTTAGAAGCTTTTATATAACCCACAGTATGTTGATGTACTTGTTTTATTTGGGCACAGCTTCCTTTTTATAATATTAGTACAGAATAGCACTGCAGACTTTTACGGGACCTTTAAATGATTTTTATTCTTTAAGAGAAAATTAGAAAAAAAAAATCATACGGATTTTAGAACATCAAACTTAATATGCTTGTGTAGTATGACGAACTCAAGAGGCTCGAGAAATATTCGCAAGAGACTCGAGTAACGGGTCGAGTTCGATATGCCTATACCAAGGTCGGATCCAGGGGGATTTCCACAGGGTCATGACCTCCTGGACTATGTCAAGGACTTAAGTAGACCACTAATTATATTTTTGACCCGATATATAAATTTAATTTAAGTTATCAAAATTAACTTCTAATGAATTGACCCGACTATGTGACCCCCTGGCGCCAAAGCTAGATTCGCCCTTGGCCTATACAATATTTCACATTCGCCCATTTCTCGAGTCTCTCGAGTACGTCAAGCTACGTAGACACCCACGTAATATGACGAAGTCGTGAGATCGAGAAACGCTCGAGGGGCTCGAGAAGCGAGTCGAAAGGGAGATATGCTGGTTTTATTGAATGCACTAAACTTCAGATTACCGTGAAGGTAACATTCACTCGCATACCCATCCTCAAGTTTAGTAGGTAAATATTTCTAGTGTACTAAGTCCATACTAGTCCGATTATTAAAAAATCTTTTGCCAAACCAAATATTTAGTTCAATTATATTTTTCAATGAAATAACATTTATTTAAATGGAAAATCCTAATCATAATTATCTTATTATCTATATTCATACCTTACAATCTAAGGATTATCCATTTAAGACGTACAGATAAATTTGATTAATTAATAGTAATTAGTGTTTTTCTAGATAAATTAAGCGACGTAAGTACATGTAATGATTAAAATATTTTTACACCAGTTCGTAGACGACAATCATGGCGGCTGGATATATTTTTAGTGTTTTACTTGTTGTTGGATTGGCTCAGGTATTTCTTTTATTTTATTCATACTACAATATTCATAAAGAGGAGATTTCTTTGTTAGTTAACATTAAACGTGTGGTTCACCAACGGGAAGCTACACCATCCGCGGATGACATTGTTAATATTTACGCGCGCGAAGTGGCTGATATGCTGATAATAATAATATGAGACATCATGACATACATTGCTCTGATTCCAATTTCATTATATCATGGAAAGGAGAATGGGCAGAAGTCGGCTAAAATTACTCAAATTGCGCACTATGCTTTTATTTATCAAAAATCTTCTCTTTAATTGTAATATATTCTATATAAATACTATTTTAAAATTATGCGGCCTTTAAATTAATCGTATTAAAACACTCGCTAAACTGACTAATTTAGACTCATGATATGGCCTTGGATAAATGTCAACCATGCAACAATAGACTCGATAAGGCGATCAGATCTATTTTAGAAAACTAAAGGATTAATCTACGTATCGAAAAAAATCAATTGTTTAATTACTATCTAAGATAAGACTTCCTTCGGTTTTTCTTTTGAGCATATACAAAGGCGTATATTTTCATAGGAAATGATAGGAGGCAAATTAATGCAATCGGCCGGGTGGCACATCTTAATATGACGCGTACAGACTGAACCATCCCAAAGAATAAGCTTCGTTTATTCGTATGGGCATAAGGATAAGATTCCGATATGCTATGATTATAAAATATGATATATAAATATGCTCAATTATTGTATAATGATGATCAATAAACCGGTACATAAATACGTTTGTTTAATTTTTATTTTACATACTTGCTTCTTGGTTTTGGTTATTAATAATTGCGAATTAACCGTGAGTTTTCACGGAGGAAGAAACATGCGTGTTTAAGCGGCGTTATACATAAATATAACAAGATTCCATTAGATAAATACCCATAATATCTTAAGATCGCTAGTGACATTCGTTATAATATTTTCTATACCTACCTGCTACAATATAACTACGACTACCTACTTAGTTTCAAGTTATTAATCGACTTGACATGCGAACTTCCTACCGCTGCTTTTACAAAATAAAGTATTTTAACTCTGCTAATGTTGGCCGGGTATTATATCAGTCAAAGACTTTTTTTGATCGGCCCAGACGTTTTTGAGTTTATCCTTTACAATAAAAAAATCCAGTCTTTCCTTTTTATAAGATAGGTACATTTTAGCAGTGAAATATCCGTAAGTCATCGATTGTTTGAAATATATTATTCATTTTATTGCTCTTATATACATAGATATTATAAAGACATAACCTCAAAATCTCTGTTAAATATTCAAATATTCTCTAACTCCGGCATAATTTTAAAATGGTTTTTTTGCTACTCTTTCTAGAAATAATTCTCTATCGTTTACCGTTGGTTTCAACAATGTGCACAGTTACGCAAAAATAGCCGAACTCTCATAGTAAATTGCCCATTCTCCTTTGAAACAATGAAGCCACCACAATATTGTCTCAGACAATATAGAAAAAAACATTTTCTTAACTCAATCCGACCGAGAATCGAACCTGGAATCTAATGACGAGTATAGTTATATACCACAAGTCACTCAGATAATGATATTATGAAACCGGCGTGTGAGTCAATCAGCTATGGAAATTTGTCAAATAACACCAATATACCTAAAGAAAATACACTTACTAGATCTAAACCCTCAAGTTAGTACGACATTTTGTCTATAGCTGGCACTCATTCATACTATTCTATTCGTTCTATATTCAATCAGCCCCGCTTTGATCTATCTAATATATTTAGTAAAGGAGTGGTTATATTAACTCGGCCCTGCATGTCGAAAAAGTGTATGCAAAATTGTAAACTAGTACCTATACTACCAGAGACCATGCGATACGGGCTAAATATAACTGACGCTTTCAACATATCAGCCAGACACCCACTGCTGGACAAAGTCCTCCCCAAAAATCTTCATGACGATCGGTTCCGCGCGTTCCTTATCCAACGCTTGCCGGCGTGTCCTGTCTCAACCAGATCATCCGTCCATCCGTGGGAGGCCCGACTACGCTCCTTTTACTGGTCCGTTGTCGCTCGAAGATTTACTGAACTTCCAACTCACCAACTCCAACGGCCATCTGTCCTATGAACTATACACCCTTTCCATTGTCACTTAATGCTCACAATTTTACGAGGTATGTTTGGTTCGTCTGCGAATTTCCTCATTTCTGATTGAATCTTCGACAGATTATGTAGATATTTGTAATTGCCGTTAAATATCTATAATCGTTCTAGGAAGCTCGGGCTCAAAATGGATTTTTAAGAATTTTTCATTAAAAATATTTTGTGAATGCAAAATTGATCAAATATAATAAGTACAATAAATTTTCATCTTTATCGCAATTTTAAATATTTGTTAAAATATTCGTCTCGGCTGTTGGGTGGATATTGATGAAAATACGCTCTGTAGTAGCAAAAAACTAACAAGTGCTTGAAATATTCATCAGTTCTGTTACATCCTGGGTAACTCAGTGATTAGAGCAGTCTCTCGGATTGTGGAAGGGTGTGGGTTCGAGTCCTATCTCAGAGTGCCAGGGACATAGTGGATATTTAAGCATTTTCAATTAAGAATATTTTTCACTATAGTATTGTCAATTCAAAATTGATTAAATATATTAATAATCATTCTTAAAAAATATCTATGGACCAGATCAGCGCGGGGCTTGGCAGGGCGGGATTAATGTAAACGCCTCTTTAGTAGATTACACTTGATAAATGTTTTCAGGCTAGTCCAACTATAAAGAAAGGTGAACCCGCCTTCTTAGAAGATCTCCGTGGTAAGTAAATAAGTATTCGATCATGTAAATTCTTTTACCTACAGGAAGCTATATTATACGCCGGTGACATAGGACACAACGCGGGGAAAGTAGCGGGAAAACAACTTACTAATAAATAAAATATTGAAACAATTACATAAAAATCCGGCCAAGTGTAATTCATACACGAGCATGAAGGGTTCAGTACCATTATCCATCAAAATATAAAAAAATCATGTTTGTTCTTTTCTATGGAGTTGTTCAAAATTTTCGGATTAATTAATACGATTGATCGACTATTTCTCGTAAACTTGTAAAGCTAACTAAAGTGTAATAGTTTTCCTTTGAACTTCGTTATTTATAGGTACTTCCGCCGTACCGTTAGAATTTTTACCAACGACTGTTTAGTTAGTAGAGACGGGGTACGCTTGACTTAATTAATAAGTCATCATCATCATCAGCCCTTTATTTCGTCCCCACTGCAGGAGCTCAGGCCTTCCTTATGGATGGTTAAGGAGTATGGGCCATGTCCCTCCGCGCTGGCCCAATGGGAATTGGCGGGTTTTAAGGACTACTAATGCAGCTGAGACCAACGGCTTAACGTTCCTTCCGAAGCACGGAGTAGCTCGAGATTCAACGATCATAATCCCAAAATTACATGTAGGGGTACGCAAAATGTATTTTTTTGAAATTTTACTTTACCACTTTGTCGACGTAATTAACATGTAATTAATACTTGCAAAAATTGGCCATATTCAAATACAATTTTTTCGGGTCTCTCTATTAAAAAAAAACAGTTAACCGGGTTTCTCGGTTATTCTTTATAGCAAATATTTGGTCACCGATCCGACGAGCGGCCATTGGCAAATTTACTTAAACAGCACAACCGTAAACTGAATGCGCTAACCATCGACCTCTAAACAAATGGATTGAGCCAGTAATGCTTTGAAACTATGACGTTCAACCATGAGCACTTGTTCTTTTTTTAGCCGGATCCAGGATCGTAGGCGGCTGGCCGGCGGCATATAAGCAGATCCCGTATCAAATCAGCTTGCGCATGATAAATTCCCTTGGCGGAGTAACCTCATGCGGTGGCTCCATCATACACCACAATTGGGTGATCACAGCCGCACATTGCGTCGCCAAGTAAGTATCAATTTATGTTAAATATTATCTTTATCTAATAAAGTTCCAGTAAATAAACGACCTGTAAATTTTAAAGTCATGTCAAGATGTGTTAGGAGTTCATCAAAGTATCATAGTGTTTAAGAGAAAATACGGATCGTACAGCTGAGTCACTAAAGCTACACTACTAAGCCTTAATAGATAGTCGTTTCTTTACGAAGTAAATACACATATACCACACACACACACACACACACATACATACGCACACGCATGCGCACACACACACACACACACACACACACACACACACACACACACACACACACACACACACACACACACACACACACACACACACACACTCACACACACACTCACACACACACACTCACACACACACACACACTCACATATGGTATCCATTCTAATATCCAGAGGTCAAATCATCCTTTTTAGTGCAGTCATGGGATGCTCGGTGGCGTAGTGGATAAGCGCCGCGGCCCGCGATCGTTGTCGTTAAGCAACTTTCGCAAGGGTCGGTCACGGGATGGGTGACCAAAAACATTATTATCTCGAGCTACTCCGTGCTTCGGAAGGCACGTTAAGCCGTTGGTCCCGGCTGCATTTGCAGTCGTTGATTCCCTCCAATCCGCATTGGGCCAGCGTGGAGGGTCATGGCCCATCCTCCTTAACCATCCATAAGGAAGGCCTGAGCCCCTGCAGTGGGGACGTAAAAGGGCTGATGATGAATAAACCAAAACAATATACATTTTTTTTTTAGCCGACATACATTCGTTATACGTTACGGTCTAACCAATCTTACGAAGCCTGAAATCATACTGGAAACGACACGCAAGTACATTCATCCAAGGTACATTGAAATTCAAGCTGGCGTTCAGACAGATGACATAGCACTTCTCGGCGTTGATCAGCATGTACCTTACAGCCGTGAGTATTCTAATAGTACATTATCTTTTTAGTCCTTCGAGTCAGAACATTCAATACTGTAATGAAGGTTGAATGAATTAGATTCCAACCAATATATTAAACGTTCACGCGCCATCTTATTGTTTATATTCTTATTGACCATTGGCTGCCTAAAGCTGCCTAAAAAATTGATAATGGCAGAAGAGGAAACTTCAAAGTGAAACATGTTGATTTATTGTGATCTGATAATGGTTTAAAGCGATATCATCTTATACTAAACTGTATCCAACAATACAGTAGTGAATGATGAATGTAGTTTGATACAATATATATCAAAGGAGTCGATATAAGTAGGTATAGTTTTAGGTTTGATACAACTTATAAAAATTTCGATATTTACAAATGCACGTACTATTTATTCATTCGACTGATACATAAACAATTGCAAAATCATCTTTTTTACAAAAACTACGTAGTAATAAATTTTAGAGATTTAATTATGAAAATAAATAACTACTACAAACATATAAGTAATATAATAAAACAACTTAATTAAAAAGTATACATAGTCTTGCCATAAATATTGTTACATAGAAAATATATTTTTATTATTGAAATTAACATTAATACTATTACAGTGTTAGTTTAATAGATTAATATAAAGTCATTAGAAATATATATAGCTTATTCAAAGAGCTCTCCATTGGCATGAATAGACGCACGCACTCTTTCCTTTCCTTTTCTTTTTTTCACAAAAATATGGCTCGGTCACTTCTTCATAGCTAACACCCCACCATACCTTATCTGAAGTTGTTCAATACCCACGTTGTACTCTGTTAACTAATCGTGAAGCTTCTTTATAGATTTGAGCATAAATATGGTTATTTTGTTGTAAAAAAAGTACAAAAAAACTACGACCTCCCTTTGCGTAACGCTGTAGTTGTTTTGATTTTACCACTTTATTCTTGTTTTAAATTATCTGTTCAGAAGTCTCCAGTGCGCCTCTTATATGTTACAATTACTAAGTCACCTTTAAAATACGCGACATAGTTCTAGGTGCTATCTTCGTCTCCAAGACAAAATCTTTTACTTTGCTATGCTATGCAATCACAGCGATGTGGTTCTCTTTGTCACCGTACTTCATTTAATATCACAAAATATTAACAATTATATAAAAATGACAGATGCGAAATTTGAAAGTAATATTTTGTTTATTAGAATTAAAACTAAGAGTATTTATGGCCAGAATAAGTATGGACTATACATACTTGATCTGGCCATAAATACTCTTCCTACTAAGGTACAACTACAAAACTGCTAAATCGATTTATAATTCCCACAAATTGCTAACGTGGGTGGCCGCAATTTTGGTGACGGAATTATTAACAAATAAACACTGATCGACCAAAACACGGTTGTGTTGAGATTGACATTATTAATTTGCGGGACTTATATTATTGAACTATGTTAGTCGCACGTTGGGCGCCAATAAATCTATAGTCCAAAAGTTATTTTTTCTGAAGTAATTTTTGTCTTCCAGGTTTAATTCAGCCAAGTTTCGTCGAGTAAAAGCTTCGTCGAGTAAAAGCATAATTTGCGGGACTTATATTATTGAACTATGTTAGTCGCACGTTGGGCGCCAATAAATCTATAGTCCAAAAGTTATTTTTTCTGAAGTAATTTTTGTCTTCCAGGTTTAATTCAGCCAAGTCGTCTTCAGAATTCTGGAAGAAAGGATGAAAGCTATCTAGGAGTTAGACTCGTTGTCAGCGGCTACGGCCGTACAGATGATCTCTGGAACGGTTTGTAAAATTTCAATTTCATACTATTTATGTAATGCTTACACAAAAAACTCAATATGCTCTAAACTATACATTGACTCTAAGTTTCACACCAAAAATTATTGCAGTTTATTTAAATAAATCGAATTAGAAAATATAAAAATATATTTCAACAATTATATAGATGAAGCGTTTATATCTATGTATAGATGTGAAAATTATGAATATTATTTCATTGATATATCCCTATTAAAATGTATTAGTGAGTTCAAAATGTAAAAAAACTATAACTAAACGGCGCACGAAAGCGACAAGAATCAAAACTGTGCCCACATCACCTGCACCACGATTATGTACGTATGAACATCAATTAAAAACATCATTATCAACCTATCAATATCTTTACTTCTGAAATCCAGGTCTTGATGTAATGATGATGCTTTATATAATTTAAGATTATAAATAAATACAAAATGTGGCAAATTTCTGCCAGAGCCCATTTGTATTTATTTATATTACTTTTGCTTCAACTTTTATATATTGACATTCTTTAATTCAGGTGGCGCTGCTTCTGAGATCCTGCTATGGACCCATCTTCGGGGCATCACAAACGCTGAGTGTCGCGCGTGGTACAACAACAGCCCTATTATCCAGGCACAAACTGTTTGCGCGGAGTATTACAATCATACTTCTCAATCTTCTTGCCAGGTAGGGAAATATAGAGAGTCCAAGTTGAATATAAGAACGAAATAATCAAACCCGCCCAACTAGTAAACTAGAAAAAAAGTGTCGTATGAAAGGCTCAATAACGTTTTTGATTTAACTATGGGTTGAGAATTGTTTTTATTACATTTTACACGTAAATACAACGTGGGCTTGAGCGCAGATTATGTGATGGCCATATTTGTTTATATTTTAATGGGCCTTCATAATATTGGCGTTTCAATATTATTTAAAAAATAAATTGGTCGAATACACAGAACAGAGAAAAACAGGTCATATACATGTTTTGATACAATTTATGGCTTCCATCTTGATAGTAGCAATTAGAGTTCCCTAGCAAAATAGAAATGTGGGGATCGCTAGTGTATTTAAAAATAATGCTTGATAATTTTCATTTACTTTTCTTCTAAAACCACCAATGTTTTACTTTCTGACTGAAACGTTTACTCAACTTAACGTTGTATTAAAAATTATTAAAAATTATATTATAACGACAGTTATAAAAATTATTCAAATGAATTTTACCAGACATTAATATAACTAATGCTTCGAACTAATTAATAATAATTACTTTATTTTTCACCACAAATAACATTATAAAAAGATGTACATTTACAACTGTTTAGTTGCTGCAAAAATATTATATACCTCTTAAACGTCTGTAAGTTGTATAGTTCTAATATTATATAACTTTTTGCTAGTTGGGCGTGGCCCAATTGTTTAATTTCAAAATCTATTGCAATCACTTTCAAAGTACCGCATTTGATGATAGCGATCTGTGTAATGTTTAAAGTCTTAATCGCTTGCTTTGATTGATTAAGAAACATATTAAAAAGTTAGTTTCTAATTTAAAGTAATATTCGCTTCGAATGCTTGCCTTAAATAATTCCAATCAACGTCAATTATCCTTCAATCAATATCTTTCAAAAGGCGCTATTATATGTCGAAAAATTAGATATATAGGCCTCCGGGATAGCGACACCTTGGAACTAGCGTACAAGCCTACTCTAGCGTACTCAGCTAGAGGTAATAACATAGACGACACAGAATTTGGAGCAGTTAAAACGCAATATCATTCAATAAATTAATATGATCGAATACCTCGAATAATATCGTAGTTTTGGAAAATCTTCATCCTCGATTTCAAGAGAACCAAGCCAAGTGCCGTGCGTGCGATGTAATTATAAAAAGTAAAATTTTAATTTCATAAACTTTCTCAAGTTTTTATATTATAATAATAACAAACACTAAAGTAATGTAGAACCTATTTTTTTTGTATTTAATGTTCAAACTGTGAACACTTTTTTGGCAAACCCTATACATAAATAGGTATACCGTCTTACTGTCTTTAAAGCCTGACGTCGACTAAGCTCAAAACGCTAAGTCACCAGTATACCCTAATGATGCACAAAATCAACCCGAGCCTAGGTGAATTTCTACGGTGGCGGCGGCGAAGCATTTTGACTCGACCTAGCGCTCCTCTAATCAACGTTAAGCTTATCGAATTCCTAATGTTTCAGGGTGATAGCGGTGGCCCACTAACGTTAGTGGACACAGACGGACAGACCACAATGATAGGAATAGTCAGCTTCGGCTCAAGCGCTGGTTGCAATAGTCCCTTCCCTTCAGGTAAGAATTGTATGGGTAATTCGATGAACTAATATCCGATAAGTATATAACAAATACTTATGGTTAATAAAATCGTAGCTAAGGTTGCCAGGTCTTAAAACTTACAAGCCGTAGCTAGGCAGATGCAACCTAACATTTGGGAGTTAAATAGCGGAGTATCTTTATGTAGGACAAGAGATTTTTTTAAGTAGAATATATTTTTTTAATACTTACTTAGTGTTTTATTCCGATTCCTGGCAACATTTATTGTAGCCAAAGGTCGACCAAAGCCGAGGTCTAATCGAATTTGTAGAGAAAAGAAAATGTTTCTCACAAAGAAGTTTCTCAGATGCAGCCCTGCAGTCAAACTCCAGACGTTTGACTGTGCCTAAATTTTGTATAAAATAAAAAAAAATACATAAGAGTGTCATCGTACTAATATCAAGGGAAATCTGCGCAAAAGACTTTTGGGCACGCTTTTATTAAATAAATAAAAAATATATAGTTCTAATTAAGTTTTAATCGTATAATGTGGTTGCCAATGGGGTAATCCCAGACATACACAGTTACTATGTATTTGAATTATGAACATAAATATTACTATCGTCATCAAACTTAGTTACTCTATCACTAGCTCTAGAAATATTAAGCTTTTCCATTTCGTTATCTACCAGCCCGTCAATATTAAAAAATTTATCTTCAAGATGCTCCTCATGTTAACATTGTCTATTCCAGGTATGGGCAATCTTGGATAATGTTGTGGGTCAAACTTTAGTGTGCAAATACGTTCGCGGGCTGCGTTTAAAAGTAGTTCATATTAAAGTAGTGTTATAGAGCTCATAATTTTTTTGCGATAGATATCAGACATGAAATAATACGACAATGTTATTATAATATCAATTTATTAAAATAACAAAATGAAATAATAACATTATAATTAAGTCGTTATATTTGTAATTGTTACAAACTATAAAAGTTAGATAGCGATACCGAAATCAATGAGACACTTCAGCTTGAACTTGGGAAACTAATCCATCGATGTTTGGATTAATTGCACTGATATAAAGACGTAAAGAATTTTCCAAATTATCTTCAGTCAGTCTTACACGATATTTCGAATTATTAACTTACATCAGTGAAAAGAACTGTTCGCATTTATAAGTACTGCCAAACGCACAAATCAATCTCTTTGCGAATTTTCTTAGCTGCGGAAAATGGTATTCTTCGAGGTATTTTTTATAGAAATCACACAACTCCACGTCTTCAAATTTAGATTTTAGGAGTGAGTTTTCTTGAATCTCGATCAACTCCATTTGCAAGTGTATTGGAGCATTTTGAACATAACATTTTGTTGGAGTAGCAAATAAATTGAAACAGTCTTGCATGTTTCTGAAATTGCTAAATCTGTTCGTAAATTACTCCGGTCGAAACGTCGGGAAATATAGGTAGGTGAAAAACCTAACTATCGATTTTATTGCGTTAATACCCGTCTTATACAATCTAATATTTAGCGTAGTGAAATGGTAAATGTTTCCAGACAGCATCTGTGCCTCCCACAAGCGGATTTTTTTCTGAAACGCTTTCTGTAAATGGCTGTACAAATCATTAACTAACTGTCCTTTTTGAAGTTTCAAATTTAAATCATTCAAATAGCCAGTTAGGTCGACCAGAAATGCTGTCACATATCCATTTTGGGTTACTCAATTCAGATAGTGGTTTATCTTTTATTTGCATAAAGTCTTTTATCTCATTTATATGCCCGTAAAACCATTTCAGCAGTTTCCCTTTTTAGACCTCTTTAAATCGCCTTTTTGCAAATTTAATTCAGTTGCTTTTTCGATCAAAATTGCGATGAGACCTATACCTAAGCCGATCGTAGAAGGTGCACAATCTGTGCATACTCCAACAAATTTTGACCATGGCAAGGCAAAACTTGGAAATACCTTTTGAACTTCATTAAAAATGTCCTTTACTGTAGTGGTTCATTTTAGCGACTGTAAAGCAAGCAATTCTTCAGTAACAGTGAACTCTTTATCAACACCTCGAATAAATATAGCCACTTGAGCTGTGTCCGACGAATCGGTGTTCTCGTCTAATGCTATGAAAAAAGATTCAAAACCAGCCATACGGTTAGTCAATGTTGTTTTTATATCATTAGCCATCATTTCTATACGTCGGACAACAGTTCGTCTTGACAAACTAATTAAGGCACTAGCACTTCGCTAGGATATCGCTCGTCGAAGTTATCACCTCGGTAGCTCAAGTAGAAATCAACTAAAGTTCGGGCCATCCACTCACTTATATAGGCAAAATGAAGGAATGATATAGAATCGTCTTGTGTAGAAAAGTTGAGAAGAAATAATCTTTTGTTGTGCCACCAATGATGATCGTCGACAGAGTTTTTTATTTTGCAATATGATAATATATTTTAAAAAATATATATTCTTTAAATCTCTTTAATCAATACAGGATTAAGTTTAGATATTTACTTCAAATTGTATGCAATCCAAATCTGCTAGTATTTGTAACTACTTCAAGTCTTAATTTTATATATACATGAAAATTTAAAATTTATAAACACATGTTATGTGTTATACAATAATTTTCAACATGTGTAATAACAGGTGTCTATCATCTTAATAAGTGTATCTATGATATATTCTGTGCGAATTGAAATAAAAGTTCATAATTAGATATCAACTTTTAGTTGAACGTCTACAATACGACGCCTACAATCCAATAAACCGTATGGTTGAATGTGTTGGTTCCTACTTGATGATGGAGACAACTTGGCCAGGGAGACTAAAGGATAATCGTCTCCCTCCGAGCTAGGTGTTGTTAGCCCGGGGACCGCGGTCCAGCCGATGTAGGTTGGACGTTCTATTTATGTTAATTGGTAGTGAAACTGATTCAGTGCGATGTAGGTTTCTTTGTTCTAAATGTCTTGTAGTTATTAATTTATGATGTTTATATTGGGATCAGTCGCCACAAATTTTACTTGCGTCGTGTTTTCTTAAAATCACAGAATATTTTTTTTAAATTAGGTTTTTGAAAATGTCTTGCGGGCCGGATTTAATCATACATTGGGCCGTATTCGGCCCGCGGACCTGTTGCCCACCGTGGATCTATACCAATATTCTGGGGTTACACTCATTGCTATACACATACAACTAATAATAATATATATTGTAAAACATATTTTAATATAAATAAATATAATCGTAAATTTTCCAAATAAACAATAATACAATTTCCTAACATAAATACTAGATGTTAAATGAGTGAAATAAAATAAAATACGAATTCTGTACTTCTTTCGTGAGATAAACATTATTCAGGTTGCCGAGACTATTCTTTGTTTGTTGATATCGTGTTTTTGTCCTATGCAGCATACGTACGTCCGGATCACTATCATGATTGGTACGTTGAAGTGACTGGCATGAGTTTCGACTGGAACAGCGATGATATTCTCCCGCCAAAACCTGAAGAGCTCGAAGGACCTTCTGAAGATTAAGCATAGAGTGGAAGAATTCATAAACAAAACACATATTTAAATAATAATGCTAGATATACGAGAGCATCAATAAATAAATCTAATAAACAAAAGGTTTTTGTAAATTCTTTAAAAACCCTTTTCATATTTATTTTGATAAGCAAATAATTTACACAACATGGATATATTACTACGATTCAATGTAATGTCTGAATCGAAGATTCGAATGAGGAAGTATTTAAAATAATCATTAGTCCTGAAATCAAACTAGATGTCGCCGGTACGTTCTTGATTTCTCCATGACAACCTTTCCGATTTTCTTTCAAGTTTAAAAGTAAATCAGTTTTCAAAACTCAATAAACAACTCATATTCTATTTGTACTTTCTCGTATTTGTATTGATATCAAGTTTCGATCTTTTCAAATTTCAGTTTTTTTTATTATGTTATGTAAAAGGAACGGAAATGACCGTCTTTGATCCATTCGTTTCCTGCAAAAATCAACTTTTGCTAGAGTAACCATCTAGTGGAGGTGCTTTTCAGTGCTTTCGTTTTTTTTTAAGACTTCTTCATTGTTTTGTGGAAAAATATACGCTAATGAATAAGTTTTAAAATAAACATTAGTTCTCGAAATCAAAATAGATGGTACTTTCTTGATTTCTCCATGACAACCCTTCCGGTTTTCTTTCATGTATAAAACTAAACCAATTTTCGAAACTCAATATACAACTAATATACAATTTGTACCTTTTCGTATTTGTATTGATTCTATGTTTCGAACTTCGCAAATTTCAGTTTTTTTATATGTTTGTTAAAATGGACGGAAATGACTATGTTTGGTCTATTCGTTTCTTTTAAAAATCAACTTTTGCTAGAGTCGACATATAGTAAGGTGTTTTTTAGTTATTTTTTTAATACTTCCTCATTAAACTGTTAAAAGTAAACAATGATTATTCAATTTTTGATTTTGTGAAAAACCAACTTTAGAAGAAACAATACCTAAGCAATATGGGCTGGATCCCTCTGCATTTAATAAAAAAAAAACTTTAATGTCATTTCACAGAGTACATTATTATATGTCATTTATAAAAGCCGATCGTGTTTTGATTTCTCTAATTTTTTTTTAATTGTTACCATGCGTTTAATATAGTTATTTTGTGCAATCAATGACCTCAACGACTGTAAGATGAGACGTAGTTTAGCGCCGAGCCAGATTGGCGCTGGTGATACTGTCTTCAAAAGTCCTTTGCTTGATTCGACTAAACGCAAACGGCGGGAATGCACAAAAATACCTCTGACCCAAAAGTCTGCCTCCCAAGCGCTGTCTGCATCGGAACATGAGAATCTCATACGACAGATATTGAATAAACCTTTCAAAGTTCCGATCCCAAATTATGTTTCATCTTATTGCAGCAAAAGTTTAGGACTAAAAAGAAGTCAAGTAAGACGTGCTTTACATGATCCAGATGAACCAAACGCTTTGGTCTTGTACCGTCCACCACACATTCCTGAACATGAAAGGATGAAAATGAGCCCAAATGAGATTAAAGTAGCAGTTGTAGTAGATCCAGTGCTTGGTAATATTTTAAGACCTCATCAAAGAGAAGGTGTAAAATTCATGTACGATTGCGTCACTGGGAAACAGATCGAAAATGCTTATGGGTGTATCATGGCGGATGAGATGGGACTGGGAAAGACACTTCAGTGTATAACTTTATTGTGGACCTTATTAAGGCAAGGGCCTGATTGCAAACCTTATATCTGTAAAGCTATTATTGTTTGTCCAAGTAGCTTGGTAAAAAATTGGTACAATGAAATTCATAAATGGCTAGGCCAAAGAATAAATGCATTGCCAATGGATGGTGGTTCTAAAGCTGAAATCACATTAAAATTACAACAATTTATGAACACCTACTCAGCTACGAGGGTTGCAACTCCAGTACTGATTATATCATATGAAACATTTAGAATATATTCTAATATATTACACTCATCAGAAGTTGGATTAGTTCTTTGTGATGAAGGGCACAGATTGAAAAACAGTGAAAATCAAACATACCAGGCTTTAATGGGTTTAAAAGCTAAGAGAAGAATTTTAATATCCGGCACTCCAATACAAAATGATTTAACAGAATATTTCAGTCTAGTGCACTTTGTCAATGAAGGTATACTAGGTACCGCCCAAGAATTCAAGAAGAGATATGAAAACCCAATATTGAAAGGTCAGGATGCCTTAGCATCTCAGCAAGAAAGGGAAAGAGCTCAAGAATGTCTGCAGACATTAACTTCTATAGTCAATAAATGTATGATAAGAAGGACAAGTAACTTACTCACTAAGTACTTGCCAGTCAAGTTTGAGCAGGTCATTTGTGTGAAAATGACTCCCCTTCAAACTCAAATATACAAGAACTTTATTAACTCTGATGCTATACGGAATAAATTCTCTGGTACTGGTGAGAAGAACACCCTTAGTGCTCTTTCTAGTATCACCACTTTGAAAAAGCTTTGCAACCATCCAGATCTGGTTTATGATAAAATTATAGAAAGATCGGAAGGTTTTGAGAAAGCTAGAGATTTGTTACCAAGTAATTATGATATCAAAGATGTCAAACCAGAATATTCAGGTAAACTGATGATATTGGATTGCATATTAGCTAATCTTAAAACAAACACAGATGACAAGATTGTCCTTGTGTCTAACTACACACAAACACTAGATCTATTTGAGAAATTATGCAGAAAAAGATGTTACCATTATGTTAGATTGGACGGTTCTATGACAATCAAGAAGAGAGCTAAAGTTGTGGAAAGCTTTAATAGTAAAGATTCTAAAGAATGGATCTTCATGCTTAGTTCGAAAGCTGGAGGCTGTGGACTGAATCTCATTGGTGCAAACCGTTTGATCATGTTTGACCCAGACTGGAATCCCGCGAATGATGATCAAGCAATGGCTAGAGTGTGGCGTGATGGACAAAAGAAACCCTGCTATATTTATAGATTACTGGCTACAGGTACAATTGAAGAGAAGATATTCCAAAGACAAGCTCACAAAAAGGCTCTCAGTGATACAGTTGTCGATCAAAATGAGGAATCTTTACGGCATTTCACTTCAGATGATCTGAAAGATTTATTCAGATTAGAAGAAAATACTCTTTCAGATACACACAGCAAATTTAAATGTAAGAGATGCATTAACAATATACAAGTGACTATGCCACCAGAGAATTCTGATTGTACGTCTGATTTATCTAATTGGTATCACTGTGCAGATAAGAAGAGCTTAGCTGATTTGGTTTTGAAGCAATGCTGGGACTTGGCAAAAACCATTTCATTTGTGTTTCACCATCGTTCGGCTGAAACAGAAGCTAAAATAGAAATATCAGAAGAAGATAAAGAAAATGTCCAACAAAAGAAAAAGAGAAAAATTGAAATAGATGAAGATTATTCTGAACCTGATGATAGTGCTGATGAAGATTATGAATAATTATAGTATTTATTTTATTGTTAAAGAAAGAAAATTAAGTTTGTTATATTAAAATTGTAAATATTAAGTAACATTGTGTGGAAATGATTGATTTACTATATAAATGTTATAACTATTTATTACAAGAACACTCATACATTATTGAGATCTGAGTTGATATAATACAAGTTCATATCATATTGTGTTTCTTTCATTTGAATCATGAAAAATGAAACAAAATTTTAAGTGCAGAAAATATATAATTCCAAAAATAACAATATAACTTATAACAATAATAAATATTCATGAAATTAGAACTTGCAACAATGGTTATAAACTAGAATCAATAGCAGTTATTCTTAACGGTTGCATATTAATAGGCCTTTCCAATGAACATATTTACAATGTATTTCATCAAGGTTTAAAATCGAGTAGAGAAATTTAACAGTTTTGTATTGTCTGACGTGCTGTTGACTATACTTAATAATACTACTATTTACAAAATGAAGGACACCTTGTTTCAAAAGAATTCAATTGTGCAAATAATTTTCAGTACCTTTTTTTTACGGAGATTACGTTTTATATTAACAATAACTGTAAGCTACCCTCATAAACCAAACGGCGATATCACAAAAAGAGCCATTTTAAGATTTTTATTATATCAAATAGTTCCATCAAATCTCTAAATGATGTAGTAATATCAGAATGTTTTTAAATACCACTTTTACCAATATGTGAGAGCCAAAAACTTAAAAATTAACTAGAGCAGCTCAGTTTCAGACCATAAGACCAGCTGGGAGGTTGTGCTGAATACCCAAGTTTTTCTGCTTCTTCATTTGTCTCGAACGGTTTTTCAAAAATCTTTAACAGGAAACGAACCTAAAAATACATAATATAGATAAAATTCAATTAAATTTCTTCTAAATTTATAAATAGCACAAGAAGTGGTCCTAAAATATTAGCATAAGATTTTTATTTAAAAACACCTTATAGTCTGGCGTCACTTTTTGCATATTTTTATAATCGAGGCGAGCTTTTGTCGTGATAAGGACTCTGCGCACCACCATACTTTAAAATAAATACTATAGAACATCACATACATTGCTCAGATCACAAATTAGGTAGCTTAAGCACTGATTGTATTATGGCAATCTGAAACAACAAAAGTGCTACAACACCCAGATCAGAGACTAGCAAAATTCATTTTCTATATTTTATAATAGAAACAATATGCTTGATGAATCGTATCTGACTGAACTAACAAACTTAACAATTTACCTAATTTTATTTATTGCTGTTATACTTCGATCAACAATACAACCTGTTATATTATTATCCTTTTGAATAGTCTTTCTTTTTTGCTCATATATTCAGAACTTCTTTCAGCTGCAGAGAAAAATAATCTACTACTAAAAAGAAACTACAACATTTAGAAAATAAATTATACCGGATGTATTTAAAATGACTCTCCTATTTTTTCTAGGCATTAGGTATCGTTAATAGATCACATATATGAAAAAAAAAACAGTATGTAAAATTTTTAAAATTAAATGTAAACTTGTTGTAATTACAAGATAATTATAACATTCGCATTGTCACATTAGTTATGAACAGAGGTCGGAATTAGGTAGAGTTATTTATGTACTTGCATTGAAATGTTGATATTAATGTGGACCTTCCCGGGATTTCTAATGGACAATCCCGTGTGTGTCGGTCCAAAGATAGACAAATAAAACAAAGATAATTAACATAAAATTTTTATTAGTTTACATTAATTTACAATACAAATTATTGATAGTCTTAAGCAAATTCTCATACGCATATTACGTGCGTGCAGTAGTTTAAATTGTGTAAAAGTAAATAACTTTTTATTTAAAAAATCACGGGTATTTTTCTGCTCTTTAAAATTAATCTCGGGATTTGAGGCATATCCACTTTATTCTTTCGCTGTATGAAATCAGTGTAAGTACATGAATAACTCTACCTAATTCCGACCACTGGTTATGAATGAAGCTGGTTATGAATAACAGGGGATGTACGCGCATGCGCCGACGACGATGTCTGCTCGGTTTTTGATTTTGTCGGCAACATCAGTCGCCCGCGCACAACCCCTTTGAACGCACGCGCTTCCGCCTTTGCTTCCGTGTTGCGCGCCGCCCGCCGCAGCCCAACACTTCTAGCGTCGTAATGTATTCCAATCGCGAATATTATGGAATGGTGCGGTGTTACATACATGGTGATCAATGGATTGGACGCGGAGCCCCCACCGTGTGGCCTGCGCGATCGCCGGACCTAACACCGTGTGACTTTTATTTGTGGGGCGAAATTAAAAGACGTGTGTATGTTGAAGAAGCACAAAGCCTCGAGGACTTAAAAGTGCAAATCAGAGCGGCATTAATCGAGTGAAAAATGACACTGTAGTGCTCGCAAAATTAAAAGACAATGTGCAGAAAAGGTGCAAGTCTCTGTTTGGAGAGGAACGGTATGCACTTTGAAAATTATTAAAGTATACGTAGGTAAATAGTTAAAGTAGGTAGGGTAAATTGATTAGTTGATTATGTACATAAAGTTGATGATTTTTTAAATACGCCTGATTGCAAAAGAATAGCTAGTTAAGTACCTACTTTGAATTGGTTTCACTAAACAGAATTTTAGATAACTCTATATTTACTTACCTACTTTATAAATTTAAAGCAGTATAGCTATTGTAATAGTAGGTATCTAATAGGATTTTTGCAATTTGACGGTTCTAAGCCCGTAAAAGTATGAAGAGGTTTCAACTTTATGTACCATTACCACAATATATCGAATTTTCGCCCTTTATTATAAAAAATACCCTAACCCTATGTATTAAGGTTTAAAATTAAATGGATAAACTTTATAAAATATGAAATATATTGGTTGTGTAAAAAAATCAGTTGTGTCACATTTTTTTGTATATTTAATTAAAATTTACCTTCTGAAAGTCGTTATTCTCCGCATCAGCAATCGCCTCTTGCAGCATCCAATTTCTGGGTATGTAAACTGGATTAACTTGTGACATGCGCAGACGTCTGTCTTCCTCGGTCACTATGAAATAAAGAAAATTGAACTTTGCCGCCATGTAGCATTTTAAGCTATGCATCATTTAAGGTGTAGCTAGGTGGCGTAGTGGATAAGCGCCGCGGCCCACGATCGTAATCGTTAAGCAACTTTCGCAAAGGTCGGTGACGGGATGGATGACCAAAAAAATTATTATCTCGAGGTACTCCGTGCTTCGGAAGGCTCATTAAGCCGTTGGTCCCAGCTGCATTTGCAGTCATTAATACCCTCCAATCCGCAGCGGGCCAGCGTGGAGGGCCATGGCCCATCCTCCTTAACCATCCATAAGGCCTGAGCCCCTGCAGTGGGGACGTAAAAGGGCTGGTGATGATGATGATGATGATCATCATTTAAGGCCCTCTCGTCAGAGTTCCCTCGATCAAATCATAGATGGGTTTGGGGGCCCCATAGACGCAATGTTGGGTTAGATCGCTACTGCCTCCTCTTGCATTCCCATACTATTACGTATCGAGAGTAAAGACGCGCTCGCTTGTTTTCATACATTTTTCATCACAAAAGAAAAAACAAAAGCATTTATGAAAAAAAAAGTGATCAAAAGAATACATCAAAATATACCATTAGGGCCGGTCATAGGATGGGTGAACTTAATTATCTCGAGCTCCTCCTTGCTTCGGAAGTCACATCAAGCCGTTGGTCCCAGCTGCATCTGTAGTCTTTAACACCCACCAATCCGCTCTCGGCCCGCGTGATGTCATGTCCCGTTCTCCCTATTCGATTCGATTTCATCTATCAGTCCGATTTGCTGATAAGTTTATTTCTATAGGAAATTTATATCATACCATTTTCTTTACATAATCTGTCCTGATATTTGCTGACCCAAACGGACCATTGTTTTGATTCGTATACCTTTAACAAAGACCATTTCTTTTCTATTACAGTCTGATTTACCAATTCTTTAGGTTCTACCTGAAAGAAAAAAAAAATATCCTAAAGTGAACATCGTACTGCGTAACGACCACAAAAAAGGTTTAGAATAGGAGTCGCAATATTTCACGATTTTAAGATTATTGGGATATAACTGATGTCTCAATAGTGGATGTATTTGTTTCACACACGCTACGCAAATGTCGACCAATCAGAATTATTCCAGTACTCACGTCGAGTATGAGAGAGATGGACATCTAATACATTGCATTTTGCACATTATTGAAACAAGACTCGTTATTAATTTCGATCGTACTTTCAGTAAAGGGGTTTAGATGCCCTGAATAATCTATCAGCCTGATAGATCGTTCAAGGCTTCATTTTGACAGCATTTAAATTTTTAAGCATTCACCTTTATGATAAATATTAATAGAGCATTAAGAGTGCAACATGATCAAGTCTAATAATTACTTTACATCGTATTTCTTCTTTTAAAAATATGTAACTTCACACCTCAATCATCACTAAAGTAAAATGGTTTATAGCTTATATAAAAAAATCGACTTCAGAAATAAGTAAAATAATTCCTTATGACTGAAAAACTGATTAAAAAATTTATGAAAAATAATTTTGAAGTCGGGGTTAACCGATAATAGGTTTTTCACATATGCGAAATACTTAAATTGAAAAAAGAACAATTAGGTACCTCCCCAAGTTGCCTAAATGTGCAAGTGAAATCTGCCATTGTCTGCTGCATTATTTGCAGAAGATCTTGCACCAGACTATCATCGCCGTCTTGAATTTCTTGTAAACCCAATTTCAGGAGGAAGGTTTTACTGAATACAAAAGGAAACATGTACTTATAATTTGCGTTTATGTTTGTCTTGATTTGAAAACACACAGAGAAAACAAGCTCAAAAAATTGTTATAAAAATATTACTAAATTTATCGTCATCATCATCAGCCTATTAATATCTCCACTGCAGGGACACAGGCCTTCCCTATAGATGGAATAAAATCGAATCGAATCTGAAGCATTGGAGGAGCTCGACATTATAAATTATTGTTCACGTAACCTATTATATTAGGGATCAAAGTATGAAATTGCCGTTTCATTGTAATAGGTTCCTTGACATAGAATCTTTATGGTTTGAGGTTTTCGAAAGAAACTTTTTTCAAATGGTTTCTATGACGTTCTTCTTTAAAAAAATGTGAAACATTTGAATATCGACTTTCAATTGTTTTTGTTATTCAACTGAGTAGCTCGGTGGCGTAATGGATAAGCGCCGCGGCCCGCGATCGTAGTCGTTAAGCAACTTTCGCAAGGGTCGGTCACGGGATGGGTGACCAAAAAATTATTATCTCGAGCTACTCCATGCTTCGGAAGGCACGTTAAACCGTTGGTCCCGGCTGCATTTGCAGTCGTTAATACCCTCCAATCCGCATTGGGCAGCGTGGAGGGTCCCATGCTCCTTAACCATCCATAAGGAAGGCCTGAGCCCCTGCAATGGGGACGTAAAAGGGCTGGTGATGTGATGATGGTGATGATTCAACTTAGACAAGAAAGATGGGTACTGCGAAAATTTTTGAATACGAGTTCCGACGTGGAAGTAACGCGGCAGAAACAGCCCGCAATATCAATGTTGCGTTTAGAGAGGAGTCTGCTAATGAACGCACTGCGATTTTGGTTTAAACGCTTACGTGATGAAAACTTCGACTTGAAGAACGAGCCACGAGGAAGACCGCCCACACAGGTGAACAACGATGAATTAAGAGAGATGGTGGAAGCCGATCCTAGTCAAACTACCCAGGAATTGGCGGCATAGTTTAACGTTACCTTACTCACAATATTGACTCATCTGCGTCAAATCAATAAAATAAAAATACGAAGAATAGGTGCCTCATGATTTGATCTGCAGACAGAAACGCGGGTTGAAACTAGTGTTGCCTTGTTGAATCGGTTCAGAAATGAAGGAGTATTGGATCGAATTGTGAAATGTGATGAAAAGTGTATTCTTTATGATAACCGTAAAAGCAAAATGCAATGGCTGACCCCAGGTCAAACGCCACAAGAGTGTCCTAAAGCAAAACTTACCAATAAAAAGGTAATGGTAACTGTTTTGTGGTCTTTGCTTGGTGTTAATCACTATAGTTTTCCTTGATCTGATCAAGCAACAACAGCAGATGTCTATTGTGCCGAACTCCTAACAATGTTGGCAAAACTAGCAGTAAAACAGCCCGGACTCATGAATCGATTTTCACCATTATTGCTCCATGACAACACGAGACCTCATATTGCACGAGAAATCGTTTTGACCTTTCAGGAACTGCAGTTAGAAACCATTCGTAATCCTCCGTATTCGCCAGACCTTGCTCCAACAGATTATCATTTCTTCGTGATTTGGACAATTATCTACGTGACAAGAAGTTTTCTTTCCAGGAGGCAGTACACATAGTTTGTGCAGTCTAGATCCTTAGAGTTCTCTCGCACGGGCATAAATGACCTTCCTATTAGATGGCAGCAATGTATAGATAATAATGGTAAGTATTTTTAATTAAATAAATTTGTTAAAAATTGAAAAATAAACAGTTTTGATTTTCAGTATAAATCGGGAATTTCATTCTTTAACCCCAACGACAGCCTTTATGACAATTTCTTCACTTCATATAACGATGAAAATTAATTACAACTTTTGAATCTATATCATATTTTATTCTTTATGTTACATACGTATAAAGAAAAGGCATAAATTAATGTTTTTAAGTGTTTTATTATATCGTATCCGGTGAGAATTGACAGAAGAATGAATAGAGTATCGTCATTTATTTATGTATGTAGTTTTTTTTCAAACCAATATTGTGTTATGGTATCTGAAATGCCCATCTCTACGTTATAACCAGGAATCGAGTAGGTGATCTCGTTTGTTATCCATTTACATTATATATTATTACTTACAGAATTATTTTCTTAGAGTATTCACTCAAAGTGCTTCTGAACTCTGCTATCTTCTGTTTCTCGTCCTCAGATAATATTGGTTCCATTGCAGCGGCAAACTTCTCCAAATTCCAAAGAATAATCTGCACACATTAATATTATGACAAATAATAAATTAATGGGCAGCACTATATTTCGATTTCAATGTGCACATCCCTATTTCCCAATTAGCTGTCGTTTGACTTTGACGTTTAATCAGATTCGCACCATCATGTTTTTGTTAATGTTACTCCTTTCCTCTTCACGAGTAAAGGCCACCATCGTGACATTGGCGGAATTGTATAAACGCAAATAGGCTACGAACTACAGAATAACAATGCATTTACATTTGTTATCATAAAGGAGATTGCCTTTATCAGTACCATATTGCATTACAGGTACACTGTTACCAAAAAATAATGTTTTACGTATGTGTATTTGTCACTGTTTTCTAAGCCATATTTTTAACCGCATTAAAAAGTGATAATAAATAATTACCAATTCGCCTGTTTCCGTTAAAAATGCATATCCGAAAAATTTGGTTCCATATACAATTGACCTTGCTTTCATAAACTAAATATCTTCCTTTAGCTACGCTCTAAGTTCACAAGTGCATAATTATCATCATCATCAGCCCTTTTACGTCCCCACTGCAGGGGCTCAGGCCTTCCTTATGGATGGTTATGGAGGATGGGCCATGACCCTCCGCCAGCGTGGATATTAATATTATAATTATTGCATAATTATAGTCTTAAATAATTATTAATAGTATTCAACAGTTTTATTTTATCTAATTAAGAAAAATATACATTGCGTATTTTATTAGAAACTCAAAAAAGCATAACGGACCCGAAATATGGACTTGTCATGTGTCAATGTATCGACGTTTTGAGTCGTAATGAGTCGTATTTTTAATAAATAAAACTAATGACGGTATTTAGATAGGTATATAGTAATACTTTTGTAATATGGCGTATTGAGATACTTATTTTAAAGCAATTTGCTGTGATTTGAAGTTTTGGAGTTTAAGATTGAGATAGTAACTCTTCTTGAAATACGGTGGACGGAGTTTTTGGTGCCTGCTCATATTTTTTAATAATGAATAGAAAAATTCAGTTGTGTATTATCACGCAAATGTAGTAATTTACCTCGTATGTTCATAAGTTTAGAGACATTTTTTTTACTAAAAATATAATATAAAATATTACTGGCGTTTATTTTATTTTTTTACCGATTTTGAATTTGGAATATTAACTTTTAGTTTATTTGTATCACCAATAGTGATGGGTCACTATCCTATTTTTAAATCACGTAACGCAACCGCTATCAGATCGCCGATATCAAAACTCTATTTTTCATAACTAATTAATTCTACAACGCTATAAAGTCAAAGCGAATTTTACTCCTATGTATACGCAATGAAGCTCAAAATTTAGGTTAGTTACATGATCACTCCGATAGCCGAACTACGCGTAACATACAAAACATATATCTATTTCATTCACGTACTGACATCCTGTTGTTGTTTCATTCTAACATGACATGTTGCATTATTAGCGACCATATTATTTAAACGCTCTACATCGTAATTTTACATTCTATACGGTTATTAAAAGTGCATTACATGACCGTCAATGTAAAGCGTTGATCGCGGATATTGTAAAGCAAGTTAAGTGATTTACTGAAGAGTGAATTCAGCTTTACTTTAAAGCGTTGTGGAGAATACATAGTTATTGTATCACTATATCACGAGTCGTCACGGTTCAGGCAAATCACTAGTGGAATAACTGTCTATCGCGGATAACGTTCATCGCTAATCGCAAATTCATTTGTTTATTTTTTCTTGTGATGGAGGGAACGAAATAATTACGTGCAACTGTCATGTCGCTATTTAAGTTCTCTGCAAGATCGCCAAAAGAGTGATCGGCCACGCTCTGTGGGGACGCTTGCGAACATCAAAATCATGCGAGAGCGACTTCGCCGAAATCCATTGCGCACTCAGAAGAAACGCGCTCTGCAGACTAATATTTCGCGTGTTTCAGCAACAGAATACTGAAATATGATTTCAAGGCAAAGGCCTATAACTGTAGAAAAGTTCACTTTTTAAAAGATCGTCTTCGTAAGTTACTATGCGCACGTTGTCCATTGCTGCTGAGGAGACATGATGCCAGAAAGATACCCTTTAGCAACGAGAAAACTTTCACTGTCGAGGAAAAGCTCAACCGAATAAACAATAAATTGTAATTGTTATCTAAGCCAGCTATCTGTATACCAAATTTCATCAAAATCCGTTCAGTAGTTTCGGCGTGATTGACCGACAAACATCCAAACATCTAAACATCCAAGCATCCAAACAAAAAAACTTTCACATTTATAATATTAATAGGATTTAATGGTGACTAAAATTTTAGAAATATTAGTTAATTATTGAAAAAGTTACGCAACTTTTTTTTGTCTCAAAACTTATGAACACACGAGGTATATTGTGCAAATTCACTTCTTAAGTGCGGCCTTAAACGCATTTTAACATGAATGATAAATAGGGTAATAGCCACAGTAATTAAATATCAATAAAAATATTGGCGTTCTTCATTAATATTCTGCAAATATCTAAAGAAAAGTTAAATAAATTTTTTATTGTTGAGAGTAAGTTTGGGTTGAAACAGTGTTTTTTTAAGAAGTGTCCGCAATTTTTTTCTAAGCAAAAATGAGCCAAGCTAAGACTTTGATGGGTTATATTAGGGTTTACATTTGTAGAACAACTCGCGACGTGTGACAATCATACAGATTTTATACTAGACTCAGGAAGACAGTGCTGCATATAATTGGGAATGTAAACTGTTAAAAGGAGAGGCAACATCGCGGCAATCTATCAGTTACTCTTTACTCCCACGTGCATTTTAAGAGACGGTATGATTTCGAATAAAACAAATTTAGAGTAGTTTTCGCGCCTCTTAAATATCAAAATTTGCACAGGTATATAATGTAAACATGACTCTACTTCACCAATTTAAATAAATCGAGTGATTAGTAAATTGTTCATATTAACACTTACATCTGGTTGTTTATAATAAGCATATCTGCCCATATCATCCGAAGTGTTGGGTACATAGTGTTGATTGTAATAGTCTATGAATCCGAAAGGGCCGTAGTCTATAGTTAAGCCAAGTATGCTCACATTGTCTGTGTTCAGAACGCCGTGGGTGAAGCCATAACCTATAAAAATATTATAATCAATAACAAATTGTTTAAACTTCTTTGGTTAAAATGTAAACAATTGGTATCGAGGACTTTTAAAAAATTAAGGTAGGCATATGGTAAAAATTTCGCCTATAATTATAATTCGTAATATCTATTATAAATGAAAAAGGAATCATCATATATTTAACATAGGGCATGGTCGGCGCACAGAGAAAATTTCGTAGAATGATCCAGCATTATATAGGTATCTCTTTCACTCGTGCACAAAAATATTGCTATTACGCTCGCACAGATGCATCTAGCAAATTTTGACATAGTAAAGTGAACCTTATATATTAGTGGTATCTATCAGCACGCACAACGTACGGAATTCTCTCTGTTAGGCGACGGTGCTATAACAATAGCACTCCTCCCTGAAAGTGGTTCACCCGACACTTTCAAGGTCGTCATTTATGAGACACCCAATCGATTGCCAGTAGAATATGACCGTATATTTATATTCTAGGGTGTAGGTGTTATATTATATTTGTAGTTAAATATTCCTGTCATTACAAGAGCTTGATACGAATCTCTCTCTCACACACCCAGTGGTGAACTAACCCTCCTATTAGAGGTTACATCGTGAAAGCACGAGTGTTTTGTTTTACTGTATTTTCTTGAAAAAGACGTAAGTTTCGAGCTGTCCCCGTGTGAGGTATTGTTATGCTGTAATATAATTTGGCAAAGTCGCTGCCATAATATTGTAATAAGATATATATGATAGATAAGTATCTCTTAACTTCACCAACCTTGCCAAGTTGCAACCATGTCTAGATTCTTCACTGCGACTTCAGAGTACCATTTAACGTACTTGTTTTCATCGCTCGACTCAATGTGAGGGTAGTAATGCTAAAAAATTGTTTTTGTAAAATATAAAATCAAATGATTATGTCATTTAATGAAGTCTTTTTTGTATGTGTATCACGTGATCTGAAACGTAGTATTGGGAGGAACATTTTTGGATCTCTCAGATAAATAGCTTTTTAACCTTAGTATATTGAGGGTGGAAGTCGAAATCCATTGCAGAAATTTGACATATTGGTGGTAACCTGACGTGCAGCCGTGTGTACCGCCATCAACATGTCAAGCTATAGGAAACTGGCAAATTTCTCCACTTGGTTTTAAACGTTAATGGATTGTAGGTAGAGCTCAAAATAAATTTAGGTAATTTAAGATATTGTGGTAGCCTGAACCTATCCCCATACCTTTATGATGTGGTCAACTAAAGTTTTCATAGTGTGAGGCTCCTTCCTCTTGTCCAATATCTCTAGAGACCCGAGTCTGTACCAACATGGCGCCACTCGCATCAGTACTGCAGCCCGCTCCGGGCGTGCGTGTCCAGAATACGTTTTGTCACGATACACTTTATGTTCGTCACTCACTAAAAATATTCAGAGTGTCGAGTGTAAGCATGACGTGATAAGCGAGTGTAACCTTAAGAATAGTTAAAGGTAGTTTCGGTAGTGAAAAATAAGTCATGAAATTGCAAAAAACTATTATTTACATCATAATAAACATAGAGATTCTGATTTTGAATCTGTAAGTCGCACGATTATCTTATAATTAATATTAGTTCTTTGCCTGTGTTTCACGAAACTTGAAACACGACCCGCCTTTGTGTGACGTCACTGTGGCGACAGCTGTCAGATTAATCCATACGCTATAACTATAAATTATTAATTAAATTACTAGATGACGCTTTTCTTAGCTTATTTATGTATTTTTATTTCGTAATCGATCGTTATATGGCATTGTTCTTATTTTACTGACATCTTTTAATCTTGTACGCTATGCATCTGATTTGTGTAAATATCACAATGATGTCAGAATATGACGGATAGAGTTTGCGCAGGTATAAAAAAGTTTAAATTTGATTTAATTTTAAGACAAGAAACGTGTTTATTTTAATAACTTTTTTTAATTAAAATAATCAAGTATTATTTCAAACAGTATAGAATACCCAATTTTTCGACTTGAAACGAAACACTGATCCGATTAATTTTTTACTTTTATCGTTATACTACATATCGTCATATAAAACTCTTACCCACCAAAGCGGCAGCCCTTGTTGTTGGTATGCCTAAGAAATAGCAAGCTTCAGAGGCCACCATTTCCCTGATGGAAGAACGCAACACCGCACGACCGTCTCCAAAACGAGAATAAGGGGTTTCCCCTGATCCTTTTAGTTGGGGTTGCCAGGATTCTTCCTTACTAAAATAGTATTTTTAATAGCATGAACCAATAATATTAATAATATCTTATTCGTCCATGATAATAGCTTATTATTAATTATAATGTAACGTAAAATAACAGAGTGCTAGAAGCTTGGAACAGATTACTGACAAATTCAGCACAGACCACAGACCAATTTAAATATGAACAATAGTTGGATCATTATAAAAAGTCACATTTGACGTCTATCAATCTGAACTTGATAGTGAAGCCTCCTTGAAGTTGTCGATTAATTTAATGAATCCATGTGATTTACAAAGAAATATGAATAGAATGAAGCTATTGTGTTAAAGTTATATCAATTTTATGATTATTATCAATATTTTTAATGAAAAATGCTTAAAAAAATCAAATTGGTCTCTGGTACCCAGAGATGGGATTCGAACCCATGACCTTTTGCAATCCGGGCGAATGCTCTAATCACTAAGCTACCCAAGACCTAACAGGATTGACGAATCTTTCAAGCACTTGTTACTTTTTCGCCACCACAGAAAATCGCAGATAATAAAAGAATAACGCACAAATTACTTTTTTATAAGCATAATGCAAAAACTTTAAGAGTGGGAATAAATCCAAAGTACCGTTGTATCGCATTGCTCACAGCAAATAGTTAGGGAGAGAGGATGTCGAATTGCGCGACGAAAACTGTTTGATGAATTACTCGCAAACTTCATATTACGACAATGGTTAACTGCCGCACGATTCGATCGGTCGGTGTTTATCAAGATTCCCAATAAAAAATAATTACAACAAGCAATGGAGTAAATTGAGAATTTTATGGGTAATTTTGTTATTTGGTTACATAGAGAAAATTTTATAAATTCACGTTGTGGATGTGACAAGATTCCTTACAAATATGTTTTTATTTTATAATTTTCAACGGTAAAAAACCAACTGAAAGTTAGTGGCCCTTAGTTTATTTAAAGGGGCGCTTAAATCTAACCATGTATTTTGAACACCATTACCAGTCAATTGTATATAAGTTTATCAAATATTTCGATGATGCAAACGGCTAGAAATCCAACCCGGTTAATATTGACAAATTTCTTTATTTGTCCATATTTTCGTATTTAAAATATTTGAGGGCAAAACAATATGCAGAATAGACTTATTTATAATTTAGACGTTACCGATTTATTAAAATAATTTTTGTGATTAGAATCTCAATAAAGTTATTTGTTCATGTTTTCGTAAATAATTTTCAAATGAACAACCAAGATCAAACAATCTTTCCGATTTTATTGATACGTCCCTACTGTTTAAATAGGAAACTGGAACTAATGTAGCGGCGTTTAGTTTGATTAGAATGAAATATATTCTTAATGAAAAAATGCCTAAAAAATCCACTTGCCCTGGCACCCTGATATGGATAATTTAAATTAAATATACTTATTACGTTAAGAAAGTATTATTGGACAAATTAAAATGTGAAATTGCTTTAGTTTATATTATGACGATAAATATATTTTAATAACAAAGAAATTTGGAATCATACCATTGCCACTCTGAAAATAAATAAATGTAAAATGTTGACTACATTACAAGGTTACTTTGAAGTTGATTGTTACGAAGAGATGTCAAATGTAGCATGGCTTGCAAAAATTTTGAAAAAGACTGATTAACAAAGATTTTAACTAGTTTTTAAGGAAATGCTTGCTATGAGTTTAATTTCAAACAAAAATGTGGGCGGTGTTTATTCATAGTTTATTTATTTCTTTATTTACAACAATAGTTGAATTACAAAATTACACTAAAGCGTTAATTGGCTGAATAAATATCTTGAATATCTATAAATTAAGAGTAATCGTTCTGAATTCTGAATAACTGAAACCAAATTATAAACACCCAGAAAATGTATATAGTTTGTTATGAGATTATTATATTTGATTAATAATGATAATGGTTGACAACCCTTAGGATCTACATATATTACCTGTTCACATATTCTCCAAGTATATGAGCTCTTCCATCACCTAACTGGTCTGCCCAGAAGCCAAACTGATAACCACCATATCTGTAAATATTATATAATATAAGACCAGGGCAGAGTAGCTCGGTGGCGTAGTGGATAAGCGCCGCGGCCCGCGATCGTAGTCGTTAAGCAACTATCGCAAGGGTCGGTCACGGGATGGGTGAGCAAAAAAAATTATTATCTCGAGCTACTCCGTGCTTCGGAAGGCACGTTAAGCCGTTGGTCCCGGCTGCATTTGCAGTCGTTAATACCCTCCAATCCGCATTGGGCCAGCGTGGAGGGTTATGGCCCATCCTCCTTAACCATCCATAAGGAAGGCCTGAGCCCCTGCAGTGGGGACGTAAAAGGGCTGGTGAAAAAAAAAAGACCAGGGACTGTTGTCTCCTATTGGCTACCCTGATGAGTGAATTTTTTTATGTACTAGCGGTTTGCTTCAAGTTAGCGACTAGTACTCTCCTTGTTTTACTGCATTTTCAGGCAGACTCCAGAGTACAGCTAGCAACATCAAAACATATTGCAATGCATGATGGTTACTATTAGTGCGTCTGTTATTTTTAAGAATATTTGTATTTAAATAGTTGATTTGTCAAATCTTTATGTAAAAAATAACAAGTAAGATTTGTAACATTAGCAGAGTAAAAATTGAATAAATATTTGATGATGGAAAATCACAGCTGAGCATTGAGAAATCAACAGCTAATGTGAATCAAACAGCCAGTAAATACCTTTTTATAATAATAAAATATATAACCTGTGTGAAACAGTCAATCCCCCTTCAGGCAAGTACTTCCCAGCAATAAAATTGATAAACTCTTTTGTCTCTGCAACTGTGTGTTCCAGTTCAAGTACATTCTTAAGGCAGTCTTCTGATGCACATACAAGATGGAGATTACCTTGCAATGGCTCTGTTGGTACCTATAAGTTGACTTATAATAATAAATAAGAATAGATTAAGAATATGGCCTCCTAGCAGTGGTTTATATACCAGTTTCAAGTTCCCCAAGGTGTTCTTAGATCCTAGATTTTATTCAAGGTGGGGCATATATTTGAAAACAAAATACAAAAGGTTATTGATCCAAATCCTGTATTGAAATAACAATGAACACTCTCAAGAGGACTTATATAACACTTTATTTCAGATTTTCTTTTTACAAACATCCATAAGTTGTTAGTCTTAGTGTTATTTAGAATTTTACTTAAAGTAACTAAACTGTACCTTTGAAAATACAGCATTTTTCACGGCCACTGGTGCATTATACTCCGGATTATCATCTATAGGAAGCTCTGAATAAACAGGAGGCTCTTTGAATTTCCACTCTTTGAAATTATTTAGCAATTTCATCTTACTTCCAAAAAACTGTTTCTGCTGGGCGACGGACACTGATGTAGTGAACAAGTGAAACGATCGTCTCATGAAAGATAATTATCTTCAATCTTTAAAAAAAACTACAAATTAACACATACAAGGAAATAGGCAATCAGAAAATTTGATGATTCCCTTAAAATCTGCTCATAAATACCAATGGATACTACTACACTTTATTTCTTTTTTGGGTGAACTTATTTAATCAAGGTCTCTCTTGACTCTTCTTCACTTAACAACTTTTTGATATCATCATCCATCACGATATTTCATCATGTTTCTTCATCAATTGAGGGGTATAAAAGCAAAGGCGCTTCAGTCACAAAAATACCTAGACTGGAAAACCGCAAATTTCAAATGTGTCGTAATAAATTGTATTTTTTATCAGAATCCGATGTTGGTACATTCAATAGAATACATTAATCAAAACAAATAAAATATACATAAATTCTTTATAATTTAAGAAATAATGTAGGACTGAGGTGTTTTTGCATTTAAGCGTTGGACTAAAGCATGTTTGCTTTTCATTGCTTTAATTGAGTTGCCTAGTTTTCTTTTTCTTCTTCTTCTTTTAATAACGACTTATCTGTGCGTTCTCACAATTTTGTCAATGTCAAGTGACTATTAATTTCTAATTTTCTACTATAAAACACAAACCAAAGAAAATAAATAAGTCGCCTATAAAAATACTCTTTGAAGTCACCTTATCTGGGCTTATCGTGTCAATTTTACATAGTCAATGTCACAGTCATAGATTTTTTAAAGTCAGGCCTTTTTCCATTAAGCACAGATATTCTGCATTCATGTTGTGGTCACAGTGACAGTGACATGAATAGTGATGTACGTCTGGGCATTATGGCACTAGCGAATTCTAATTTTAATATTGTTGATACTGTCCAGTAGATTTTTTTTTTTCTAATGACATATACAGGAATAATTTAAAACCACTGCGAAGATTTTGTGAAAATAAACTTTTAAGTAATTTAAACAAACACGTATTTTTTATTTTGATATGTTCCAATATTAAAAAATAAAGTTATCGCTTATCAAAGATCGAAATTTTAAAACTTAATTTATGGACACCGCGCGCCGTGCGTCAGCTGAGCGCTCGCTCGACGCCGTAGGTATGTACTCGTAGGTACCTATCTACACGGGTCACTGACCGCTCATTTTGTTAGATTCGAACTAGATTTTATGCCATGATCTGAGGTGATTTCTAACAGTAATTCCAATTTTCCCTTCATACTTTATGGTTAAGGCCATCAAAATGCAAAAAATAAAAGAGAAACAAATTCGTTACCTAGAAAAAAATATTAACGTAATGCCGAAGTTACATAGGCACTTCTGCGTTAAGGCGTATTTAAAAAAATTGGAATCAACTACGTATTTACAATATTGAATCAAAACAAATACGTAACTAATTACTTACCATGTATTTTAATATTTGTTCAAAATGAAGTCCACGTCTGTCCAGACATAAACGTGCACATTTCATTAAATTGTCATTTAATTTATTTAAAACACTAGTGTCACTTTTCACTTCACTAAAAGCGTTATTACTTTTTATTATTAAGTCTTCTAGATTTTGTGCCTACTCTACATCCCGGCGTTTGACTTCTTCTTATAAGAAACAGTCCCTCACGTGTGAACAATGCCTCATCCGTCCACAAGATGTTTGCATCGCGGTGATGTAGAAGCCACTCACATAAGGCTCGACGTGGTACTGGGTCTAGGTCATGGAACTGCTGAACCGGCTGAAAGTGGTGCGGTTGAAGTCCGGCTGTTTTTAGCAGCTTCAATACCGCAGGCTGGCTTACACCAAAGAGACATGCCGCATCGTGGGTACTGACTCTGGGACGTCGTCTGTTATAATGGTTCGAAGCATTAGAGACCGCGGGGTTACGGATCCCAAAGGCCCGCATACGAGGTATGCTCTTCGTCGCATACTTTCTCCGAATTGCGCTTATATAGGTTCTCACCACTCAGAAGATAAACTTGTACCATCTCGTAAAACTCACGACAGCGGGCGCGTCGCGTGCGCGTGAACGCGAGGGCACGTCAAATCGGCGCGTGCGTATGAGTCTCACTGCCGCCACTGTCGCGCGCGTCGCTCGGTCCCGGCGGGGAGGCGGGGGCTGTGGCGGGGGGCTACCGGGCGTGGCGGGGATGCACGGTTGTATACGCAAGAGAAGACGTTTGCATAGAAGTTTAATTAAAAAAAAAGTGTCCATATTCTACCGTTTCGATAGGGATAAATATATTAAAAAAATATTTTTTACTAATTATGGAAAAGTGTTCTATTACTGATACTGAATCATCAAAAAAATTTTTTGCACTGGAAAAAAAATATTCCTGTAGATAAATCCAAACTATAAATGAAAAGCGCGGGAAACATTTAACATTGGCGGGCGCGTTTTTTTAATTTATTATTTTTACTAATATCTCTTGCATAAAATAATGATCAGTTAACTGGTTTGATATTACGTTTTTATAGTGTATTTAAGTTTTAGGCTTTGTACCCCCGGCTAGTATTTTATTACGATAGGATCAAATAATTAATCTGGTATGGATATGGATGGATCAGTAGCTAGTCGCTCTCTGAACAGGAGCCAAAGCATTGCAATAATAAAGTCGCAATCAGAACAAAGACCTACCGATTGTAGTTGCTATAAATCGACTTCAGTTTAGTCTGAGTTAAATCACAAAACTGACTCATCTACAAAAGACATTTGCTACTGGATCTATTGGTAGATACACATCATGTGATAAAACAGATGCTGCTCCTTACATGGTACATGTTCAAAAACAACAAGCGACACCTAGTGATGGAGTCTCATTACATCCAATGGCTTTTAATAATTTCTTGAAAAAAGAACTGCTTTAGTGCATAAAGTATTAAATAAAATAAATAAATAAATAAAATAATAGAACTGTTCCCAATGTAAATCCGAGGACATCCCTTAGGAAAACTACATTTTTGAAACCTAGCTCCTCTCCTATTCCTACAAAGGGGTATGGCACCCACAAACCTTTATTAAAGGAATTAATGATACTTTCGCCTAATAATGGATGTGGTTTTAATAATGATACTAATTCTGCATCATGTATACAACTTCCTACAGATTTTGTTACTGCACTTTTCAATCTTATTTCTCAGTTTAATTTCTTCCCACTGTCCAACGCTGCAGAGAATATTAATAATAATATGAAACCAACTTTAAATGGACAGACAGACAGACAAAATAATTCAGTAGAATTGCTGGAGTGCTATAATTTAAAAAAGTGAAATAATTTATTTACTAAATAACTATGAACCATTTTAGTTCTATCAGAAACATGGTTAACATCTTAAAAACCTTTTCAAATAAATGGTGTAAAAGTATCTAATATTAACATACATAGTATCAATTTGTATTCACATCTACTCTACCCTACACAACACGTACACACACAGTCACACTTTCACAGTTACACACACATATACATACACACACTCTCACACACACTCACACACATTTACACGCCGTACTAGTCTGGAGTAGTATGGTGGGTACTTACCTGGGGACTTACCTGTGCTTGCTCGACGACTGGTGCGGCGCCGGGACCTCGGTAGGGCCATAGCCGCGGCGCGACGAGAGGGGATGCGACCCGTCGACTAGCTGGACGCCCCTGTCTGCCCTTCGGGGCTGATACAGGGAGTGATGAGGCTGGTCTTCTGTGGCGCATCGACCTACGGGGGGGGGGGATCCACGATAAGGGCTATGCCTGTGTGGATCCTCCCAACACGATGGGTAGGGTCCCTAGTCAGGGGCAGCTGGCCGGTTTGCGCACCGGTCGGCATTGCACGCTCCTGCCTCGCCGTGGGGATGCGTTTCGAATGTCTCTGAGACGTATCCCCAACCCGAGTGGAACCTGCCCTTTGCAGGGCGGGCCGAAATGGGGGCGAACTGCGCGGTGTATGGCCTCCGGGCCGATCCCGCGCCTCGCCCACCATGAGAGGGACATCGCTGAGTTTTAGTGGGTAAACTTCTGTTTCATGTCTAGCCCCCTTTTGGGGGTGGGGCCACAGGAGGAGTCCCACATCACCCGTGGAGCCCGCGCAGGGCGAAGCGGGTATGCGTAACGCATTTCTCAGCGTCAAAAAAAAAAAAGGTTCAATTTTTTCCTGTTATTATTCATGGAAATGAGAACATTTGCGCTGAAGCATTATATAGTAAGAGAGGTGTTTCCTTAGAGAGAAAATAATTGCACAAAAATACCATCCTCCCCTTGGTGGGATAAAGATCGCACTGAAGCAGTTAAGAAGAGAAAAGAGGCTGAAAGAATTTACAATAATAATATATCTGAAGCTAACTATGAAAATAAACCACTATCTGAGGTCATTTCATATCCACTGATAGTTTTATCTTCTGTGCTGATAAAATTAACTGAAATTTTAATAAAAAGCCGCTTGAAATGGCATTGAGAAAGCTAGCTATTGGTATCATAAACAACTGCCTTGCTTAATAGTAAGCTTTCAAAAATACTTGAATCTCCATTCACCTATACATCGGTCAAATCGTCTTCGACTGTTTGTCATGATCTATGACGCTCTGCTGATTTCACCATCTGTAAGGTAACGATTGGATAGATAAACATAACGCTAAAACCTTTAAATCAACTATAGATTCTGAATATGAAGATTACCATCATATATACAGTGATGCTTCTAAGTACGTGATGTTTTGACAATTCCAAGAGAGTTTTATTTCATATTTCTACGACGATTAAACAACTAAACCACACTTAATCTATCCTGTATAATGCAAAATATTTAAAATTAATTATTTAAAATTATTAATTATTTAAAATTAATCAATATAATGTATAGTATATATCTAATTAAAAGGGGCGGCAAAAAAAGACACCCATGCTACGCCACTGATTTTAACGCACACTTATTAACCTATTCAGCTTAGCAACGAATTTAATGTTATATCAAACCAATTACTAAAAGATCCTTTTTCCTGTGCGTTTCCAAGTCGGAAACACTCCACATCGGTTTTCGCGGGCTGCGGGATTTCTTCGTTTTTGTCATTTACTTCAACGGGGAATCTCACAATAATCGACGTCATTCGATTAAACTTCGCACAGTTTATACAAGCATTTTTCATAAGGGGCTCCGCTAAGCAATCTACGCCACTGATCAGTGTGCGCTGAGGTTTATATATGAAGATCAAGTTACCGACGAACAACTTACTGTAATAAATGTTATTATACTATAAGTAGCAAAAATTGTTTTATTATCGATGATAAAACTGAAAATGATACCCTTATAAAGACCATGTAAATGGTATTAAGACGGCATTTGGGCACAAATTATAACTATGTTAGTCTTGTAGTCGTTTTACGATTATAATATAATAAGTACTTCTTTCTCGTGTAATATGTAATGTACATGGACAGCCTAAGAAGTCCTACAATTTTACAAAATCGTTGCCCTGTACATGTATTTGCATCAAGTGAGAGAAGATTTCCAAATTATAACTTATTAAAAATAACCTCCATTTTACGATGAATCAAGAGCGACTCGTCAATTTATCTATTAAAAGATTACATTCAATTAAAAGACAACTTTCAAGGGAAGTCAAACTTTATACTTGTATTAAATATGATGTTTTCGTGTCTTCATATTGTTTTTTTATATATTACATAATATTATACGATATGTTATGCCTTCATACTTGTAATTTTTTAAACTTGTCTTTGAAAACGTATTTTATTTTCCTAACTGTTTATGAAAGTCTTATTCGAACGTCAATTATAAGATGCGAATAAAACTAACATCACCAAAAAAAGAAAAGAGGAAAAAACCGACATCTTTCGGTTTCGGGACCTCATGATATCCCATCTGAGCGATTACATTATTCTGTGTCATTTACAATCCTGTAGATACCACAATAATTTGTCTTTGGACACTAATGATATTGTATAAGTTAATTTTTTTTTTTAAGAAACCATATCGAATGTATATATCGATTTTTGCCCCCAAACCCCCAGCCCAGCCACCCAAACAACCAAATTCAACTAAATTTCATGAAAATCGTTGGAGCCGTTTCCGAGTTTCAGATTTAAGAATAACAGATTTAAGAATTGCTCGTTTGAACACTAGGGGCTTCATATAACTAAACCGCCGCGGACTTCCGACGGGGTTAATCCGCCACCGCAAAGTAGATTTAACATTTACGAGTGTGTATACCTTTGAATGTACATTTACGGATGTACATAAACTAGAAATTAAAATTTTTATTGATATGAAATTATTTGTTATGTTACAAAGAATACGATGAAACTAAGCTATTTAACCGTACAAAACTTGCCAAGTTTTGTACGGTTAAATTCCGCTTAAAAGTGCACAAGAGCACGTTGCATTATGGACAAAAAGTGTGCGTCCACCACACAAACACTTTTGCCTGCTGCCTCCCATTAGTCCAAATTCAACGGGCAAGTGGCAGAGGAACTATGCGGGCAATTTAGCAGACCCAGATGGTATGGCAAGAGTTGGGCGTTTTTTGTGGTGGTGGTGTGAAACTATCTGACGTAATCCACGGTGCTTGGAGTTAGGTGTCGTGCATTTGAAAAATATGTATAAATTCAAGACGCTGCCGTTCAGCAAACGTCTGAAAAATGTCTTGTATCATATTCTAGTTAATTTTCGTGCAATTGGGTACATTGCGAGCATCAGCCCCCTGATTGTCTAATTTTAAATCTATTGCAATCGCTTTCAGTTTGAAAGGTGTTGCACAACCATTGCTGCATAATACAAATACTTTTTTTCAACTGTCTTCAGAAACAAGCAATGGTTATACAACATCTTTCAAACCGAAAGATTTTAAAGTTAGACAATTAGGCCCCTGGTCTTTTTTATCGACTCTCACTATACACAAATTCATGTATGAGGGTAGGCTTAAGGGTATCAGTTGATCGATTAGTAACAGCTCCATGATATGTCGAGATAAGTCGACACCACCTCTCGTACATTTCTGCAATGTAGCAATTGTACGGGAACGAATTGTCTGCTGGTACGCAATGTACCCAATCAAAATGCATGAATTTTAATTTACGAGGGGCTAGAGAATTATAATAATTGTCCATCCATAATGTATAATAGTCTTTAAATTCTAAACCCTGTATCGGTCTCAACATGATTGCTCTGGATACAGAACTAGAATCTTGCGACGGCTCGGTTCCAGAACGGATTTCGAACCACCACAAATAAGCAATATGAGATTCATATAACTTGTAGGTTTTTATTCCCACCGCTGCAGCTTTGTTGTATATAAACTGACTGATATCCAACCAGCCTTTCCATTAGGTTATAGGTTCATCCAGCGCAATGTTCTGGTACATATTACCTATACAGAGTGGAACATTTGTGGTTAAGAAGATTAATAATGGGCTGCACTTTAAATAATTACAATATCATTAAACCTACAATAGGCTCCGGCCAGTTGAAGAGATAACCCACCTCATCCTTTTGAGGTTTCTCATCGTCCTACACTTCTAATGTTGCCCGCACAATCCTGGGCACCGGCTTGTGGAAGAGAATCAACTACTACCTCATCCTCCACCTTCACCTCCTGCTCTTTCTCAATTCCTGTAAAAGATAATTTAAGAGTTATTGTAAGTAAATCTGTGACTGAAATAAAATAAATCATACCATAATAAACTGAAAACTCTATATCCTCGTCCCCTAACGTCTGGCGAAACGCAGTGGAAGGTGAGCTCTGCCAGCTCGAATCTCTGTATTCCATGTCGCTAAAAAAGATGTTATTAAGATTTTATTATTAACCACCTGTTTCACGTGACTTCGCACACGTAAATTATAATAACCCATGTCAACCCAGTATAATATAGCTCAAAGAATATTTAAAATTGTTCTACTTTCTAATATTAGAATTAAATAATCTAACATTGAAATGGTAAAATAACAAATACTTACAGTGCTGAAGAAGGTGTATTTGATAAATAACCATAGCGAGATGTCGGGTCACACTTAGCCATTATTTTGGTCAAAAGAATGTACAATTAGTCTATTTTTTTAACATTAAATGAACCTGTATTTTATATCTGCTGATGATGCTCTGTGGCAGTACCGCAATGATGTTTTATTTACATTTTAAACCACAACATACAAATTTATTATTATATGTTTACGTGCATTTATGAATTAATATAGGTTTTATAGTAAATGAACAATTTCAAAATCATTGCAGCAAAATACAATTTTTAGGTACTTTTTTGGCGACGGTACCTTTGATGCGCTCTGACACTTTTTCGTAACGGTCGGTAGTCGACGGCTCCGAATTTGAAGCGAATGGCTAGTATAAATAGGTTCTAAAGGGAAAAACATTTTTTTTTATTTTTATTCTTTTACTTCAGTATAAATACATAAAACATATTTCTTAGGTAGAACAGCTAATTTTCAAAGCATACGCCCATTGTGGTGGCTGTGCTGAAAAGCCACGCTTCTCAGCTTCACACTGAACTTCATATGGGCGCCTCAAGACTTCAAGAAGGAAGCGAACCTAACAAAAAATAAATAGTTACATGGTTTAATGACTCCTGTAAGCGCTAATGAATATCAAAATTGTATGCGTAATGTCGCTTTAAACTAATAACAATTTTAATGAACGTTTGTGCTACTGGCACATAGCGGCACATTCACTCTCAACCAAGCTTGGGTGCTTGTTGCCTTATGGGATGGCGCCGAGTCTTATTGAAAAACCCAATCCTTATTGGGAAATAATGTATCAGACAGCGGTTTCACCACGGGCTCTAAAATATTACTCTGATTATTCTTGGCTTTCACCTTGACACCTTGTTGGCAGAAAGGGAGCAGAGTGACACCTTCATACGAAACTTCCTAACATACCATCACACTAGCGGATGATGAGTGCGCGAGACATTCCGTGCTGAAGCTGGGACATCCTTGCTACTTTTAGCGTACACTTTATTGTTATGTCGGTTGAACTTTTCTTCAACAGTAAAAATTTTCTCGTCGTTGAAGAGTATCTTTCTGGACTCATGTCTCCTCGAAGACGATCGTTTAAAAAGTGATCTTTTCTACGGCTATAGGCCTTTACCTTAAGATCATATTTCAGTATTCTGTTCACTGCAACGCGCGAAATATTAGTCTGCAGAGAGAGTTTCTTCTGAATGCGACATGGATTTCGGCGAAGTCGGTCTCGGATGATTTTGATTCATCCACGGCTTACTACGTTATAAGATAATATTAGTTTTACCTTTCTAAAATCATCTTTTTCGGCATCAATGATGGCCTCATGCAGAAGCCAGTTTCGAGGAATGTACACAGGATTGACGCTGAGCATGCGCCGACGTCTCTCATCTTCAAATAGACCAGCAGAATTTGCATCCACTAAAATCAAACCAATATCGTCAATACTCAAAATGAAACATTTACATGAGATCTGTAGCTGAGACAGTACAGTAATCTTTTAATCAAGCTAGCCCAATAAAATTGAAGGTTTTTTTATTTTCAGTGGATTGACTCAATGGAATGTCTCAGTTATCGCTCCCGTGTAAAAACTAAACCAGGGTTGCCAACTACTAGCTTTCCTTCCACGGCTTCACCAGCGTGGTTTACACAATAACTTGATAGTAATAAATATACATACATCCTTATAAGCTTTCGCATTTATAATATTAGATGAAGTAGAATGTAAGTATTGAAGAAACAATTACTTCTTTTTGAAATTAAGGAAGCACCTATAAATTATATAACTACATCCAAACGTTGCGGTAACAAAAACTTATTTTTGTATATTTAATTTAATGAAGTCTGTTATAAATAATAATAACAAATGCGCAAGTTTAAATGAGTATTACCTACACAGGATTGCAATGTTATTCTTACCTATGCCTAAACAGCGAATTCATAAACGTGTTAAATTTTTATTTGATGTATGAATTTTCACCGCTAACAAAATACAGGTAATATTTATAATTTTATGACTGATCTCACCAGCTTCTTTATCTAGTCTCTCTCGATATTGATCAAGCCAGCAGCCCCATGAAGAATGTGATGACAATCGTTTGAGAGACCATTTCTCAGCTAATTTTACTTCACTGACCATTTCACTTGGCTCCAACTACCAAATATATTTTCCCATGAATTAATTGTTACAAATGAAAATAGATTCTCTTTTGTTAAAACCCACTTTTGGCAACTTGGCAGTTATAACACTAGATTATGTAATATGTTGAAAACTACAGAACACAGAAAATAAGTTAGAAAGGCGATCATGTATCCTCTGTACGAAAACCGATATCGCCAGTCTTGCCCTATTTTTCGTCCACCATACATCAGACGAAATATTAGACCCGTTATACAAAAGATATGCACACATTGCCATCTTAAACATGCCAATCAAAATGCTCCAATATAACTATAACCAATCAGGATCAACTGTAACAGACATCCAGAGTGAGTAGTAAACGTGTAAAAGCCATTTTTATTTGACATATTACACTAGTGATTGACAAAGTTATTTACTATCGATATTGAAAAACAACAAGACAATCAATTGAAAGGATACTGGAGTAATGATTTCTTTTATTATTTTGGATATATAGGTACCTATATTGAATTTTATTGATTTAATGTAATATTATCTTTTTGCTTTAGATATTAATATTAAAAAACCATGATTTTTTTATTGTTGTTAATTAGTTGGTTGATTTAGTAAGAAATTTTTAAATCACTTCCTAATAATGAACTAACATTGAAACAGTACTAGTCGTGCTTAAATATTCATTTGCACATAAGTATGTTTGTTGGTTTGCTTATAAATAATAATAATAAATAGTTGGTAATTTTTTTACGTTACGATACTCGATTCCGTATCAAGTAATCATGAGATCGGCAACATCGCTTAAATGAAATTAGTAATATTGACAAACAATATAACGTAAATAAATGTATACAAAATAAAATAAAATATACAATTAGTACAATAAATGCTATTGGAACTTACCTCGAACGGATTCCGACGATATAAAAAGTATTGTTTTTAATGGTTTAAAATAAATAATTTAATTTTCTGTTACAATATTAGGAATATAAAAACAGATTCTTTAGCTACACCACACTCATTATTAAATTAATACACAAATGCATACCAAACGAAGTCAATATGGTAGTCTATAATAGGGTTACATTTTATTTATTGCTATTTTTAATGTCTGATTAAATTTGTCTTTTATTATCACTATTTAGTCGAATTTACTTTTATTTAGTTTAACACTAACACACAAAGAATCGATTAAATGTTTCCATGGCACTTCACTAGCGATCTACCGTAATCTATTATGTTACTATTTAGAACGGTGATTTCGCGATGTTCTTTACATTACGTGCTCATTACGCAATGTAGGTAATAAATATGCGTACTTCTCCAGTAATGTATATTTTTTTGGAAATATTTTTTTTGTGATTCACACTTTTGATAACATTTCACGAATTTCGACTAAAAATACTAAATTTGTGAAGTGTTCTACTTACTAATAAAAAGAAATCCCTCCTTTGGACCTTCTTGAGGATTGGCTTCTTGTTTTGCAATTAATAAACGCGGAATTTTAAAACTTTTAGTGGCGTGTTTAACAGTACTCAGCGCGCGCGTTCGTGAATGACTAAACATCGCGATTGCGTAGTGAAGTCACGATCTTGGGGCTCTATTTTTGAATCATTCGTCTCGCGTCGAGCGCTCGTTTTCTACTATCACTCGCATACAACGTTCGCTAAGCGACGAGTGGTTCATACCATTCGTTGCAGTCGAGCGATTTAGAAATGGCGAATTTGTTAAGTCGAACGAAAATCAGTAGAAAACGAGCGCTCGACGCGAGACGAATGATTCAAAAATAGAGCCCCTGTACATTTGTCCAGAATCGTGGCTATAGTGCCTTTCTAACGTCTTTCTGTGTTCTGCGTTGGAAACGTTAATTAAAACAATATATATTTATTGTATTAAAATAAATTCCATAGACGTCAAGTTACGAACATCCATTAAGTTGGCAAATCAAATCATATCATTTATTGGTCATATAACTCATAAAGTAACACTCGGCAGTCTTTTACAATAAACATTTCAAATTAAATAAAAAGGTCTAAAGGGCTTAACTCATTTCAACTTACTTTTTATGTGCTGTGTTTCTTCTATATGAGCTATTATGCATATAAATAACTAATATATTGATTTCTAAAATAGGTTGAGTGGGAAGCGTACCCTTTATTTTCAATAATATTGTAAAAATGAAAAAACACATACCCTCTGTACGAATTAACATAACACCTGGCTCGAAACTTTATACTACCCGCACTACCCTGTGATGCGTGTTCAGTAGCGATAGTATAATAAATATTACGCGTCTTTCACACAGTTGCACAAACGTCCACTAAAGTTTTCGTTAGTTAAACCATATATTAACTCCGTAGCTCAATGGTTCGCACGCCGGTTTCAAGGTATCGCCATCTCTGAGGTCCTGGGTTGGATTCCCGGTCGAGTCGATGTCGATAATGTATTCTTCGATACTGTCTCGGGTCTGGGTGTTGTGCGACTTTTGTTGTTTCAGATACTCCATAATACGAGGGCTTTAACTACTTATCTGAGCGATGTATGTGATGTTGATATGTTAATGAAAAGAAAACACATAATTATTCAGATTGATAATTATGTACTAATAACCTCCTTTAAAAATAGATTTCTACAATAACCTCGGCAAGCTGTCGAAATGTAGATGTAAAATCAGCCCCAGTTTGCTGCATCATATCCAGAAGTTTCTCTATCAGTTGTTCATCGCCCCAACGCTCTTCTTTTAGACCCACCTTCATTAAAAATGTTTCTCTAAAACACAATTAAGTGTCTTAATTAAAAAAGAAATTCCCCAAAAGTCTAATTCATACCTCTATAGATCTCAAATCATGTATTTCGTTCGGGGCGTTCTACCTGTGGTTCTACTCAGTCTTAGTGATTAGCTATAATCGCAATGCGAAGACACACCTCTAAAACCAAATTTACATTACAAAAATCGTTGCATGAAATTAGTTTCATTGCATTAATTTCGCTAGCAGTTGCACTTGCACTTATAAACGTTTGCTTTCACAATGCATTTCATCACCAATTACATGGCGACATCATCCGCGTATCAGTGGCGTAGCGTACTTTGAAGAGGTGCTCTAGCAAAATATTTTTACATACACACATCCCCTGTAGCTCGGGGCCCCGTATCGTTGATACTTTGATGTGCCTTACTCAAATTAGAAATTATTGCACAGATCAAACAAATAAAAAATGGAAAAGAAAAGATGAAACTAACAATATTTTGTTTTTGCAATAAGTGTCCAATGTTTTCAGAATGTGTGACATGTGAACTTGTTGTGAAGATGTCAGCAGTGGTTTTAAAGCAGTCGCGAGCTGTCCTATGTTCCAAACCACGACCTAAAATATAGATTATTGTAAATGAAGCTTCTGTTAATAGAATTTAAGTTGGAGAGATTTTTTAGCACATCATCATTAAAAAATCGGATTTATAAAAGTGTATCGCGGGTCCTATATGTAAGAATAAATTAATAAATCAAAAATAAAACGAAGAGATCGAGCACAGGCGGATTTAACCCAAGGTCACAATAGGTCTGGGCCTTCGACAGTCAGGTACAGGAGCAGCTAATAATGGCATAAAATATATTTATGATATCAGTGCCTAAATTATTAGATCTGAAAAAGTACTACATGGCCTAAAGCGGCCAAATCTGCAAATCTGCGTATGATCCGTGTGTTAAATCTATTTAATTACTGTCGATATCATAAAATATAAATAATAAACTCTTACATCGGGCTGTTTAGCTAGAGCGTAACGTCCTTCCCCATCGGAACAATTCGCAACAAAACCTCCATCATACGAATCAACAAAACCAAATGGTCCAAAATTCAAAGTGAGTCCAAGAAGGCTCATGTTATCTGTGTTCAATAGGCCATGTGTAAAACCCAAACCTATAAAAGAACAGTCAGTTCCTTAGGTACTTTATTATAACAACACAGTTTATTATAACAGCACATACAACAATTTATGAAAGGTAAAGATTTCTCACAAAAGAAAAAATAATGTTTGTATAAACTGTGCGATTTTAATCGTATGTACATCGATTACTATGGGATTCCCCCGTTGAAGTTATGACCTTAACCAGGTGTGGGCACAGGCCCCGGGCTTAGGTGACTGCGCCCTGGGCAAATGGTCTACTGGCACCCCCTTTATTACTATAATATAAAAGCAAATAATTATGTTACTTATATTTTATGAAGGAAATAACAAGAAAACATGTCTTTCATATACAAAACTGTAGACATTTATTTCTACATAATTCATACTTCCAGCAAAGATTACAATTTAAAATTGTATTGTTATTTTGCGCCCTGGGCAAATGCCCAGTCTGCCCATTTATAGCCCGGGGCCTGCTTGGACATGTTGTGGGCCAAACTTTAGTGTGCAAATACGTTCATATCATAAGTTACGTACGTTACGTAATACGTAATTTTTTGTGATAGATATCAGACATTAAATAATACGACAATTTTATTAAAAATTAGTTTTTTTAAAATGTCTCGCGGGCCGGCTGTTTCTCACCGTGGACTTAAAGGAAGAAATCGCGCAGCCCGCGAAAACTGATGTAGGGTGTTGCCAACATAGAGTATTAAATCAACAAGAGAGGGCGAGGTGTGCATTACACACTAACTAAAATGTTAACATTAATGCATTTTCGCAGCATGTCGCTATGAACGCACACGCCAATATAGTAACACACTTACATAAACTACACTCACACAATGGATTTTTTTGACGTTTCACGTTACTACACTATAATATTAATAGTGTGAGGGACTCATCCATATCGATAAATTTATAGATACATAGATAACTTCTTTATTTTACTACTTTTGTATTACATTCTTTAGTTGCACACATATTTGTATATATCTATGCAAATATTATAAAGAGTCAAGATTTCACTGTTTGTTAATTAGCACTAAATTGGCTCCAATTCTTTTACCTCCGGAAGGTCATCTTACGCATATTTTATATAGGCTATAACTTACCAGAATAAAGTTATGACATGAAGCAGCTAGTTACAAAATAAAACGCATATTTAAAATTTTTGACAAATAAGTCAGATATAACTAAAATAATAGTATGCGTGCAACAGCGATGCAAATGGGCTTAAACTCAATGGATTTTTACTCAAAGAGCAAAATGAATTGTGATACAAATGACTCACAAGCCTTGAATTAAGTAAAAATTCAGATTCAGTAACTTTTTGTCCACATAAATCGAAAACTTATTAATGGATTGAATATGACTAGCAATTTTGTTGCATTTTTTAGTAATGTTATAAAAATAAAATTTTAATAATGTGCATTATGCCGGGTAAAACTATAAGTTCTATTTGTAAAAATAATTGTAAAAGTATGTTGTTGATAAATTTAGCATAAAAAATAACAATTATATATAAAATTGTAAATTATGTTCAAAATTTACTGAGAAATAAAGCGACCTGCTTGCTTATTTTGTTATGAATTCCGATATTAACACCTAATATCAAAAACCAGTATATGATGTCACGTACCCTACCTATAACGAATAATAAAACACCAGAAAAATTATATTTTAAAAATAAAAACAACGAAAATACTTCATTAATCCCTCTTATTAATTATGATATAAGTAGTAATTTGAATATTGAGTTTAAATAAAAGGTTTCTACATTCAATATTTTTGTTTGATATTGTTAGAAGATAACTGTTTGACAAATATTAAAGCCAAGCAAATTCCAAACCAAGTCCACCAAGGCGTCGGTGAAAGAAGTGTAGGTTATAGCCGTTTTAAGAAATTTATTTTCTAAATGAAAAAAATCCATATCGACATACGACTGTGATGTCCCAATGCTAGCTTTTTAACAGTGTGGCCAACTTAGGAATTCAGAATACCTATCTTTAACTGGTGACAAATGTAAATATTTTCTGAATCAATCAATCAATCAATCAATCATTTATTGCATAAAATATGGTGTAACAGATGTCATAAAATAAGCGTATCACATATTTACTGTTTGACAGTGTGCAATAGTTTTAGTAGTTATATAAATTTACATTTTAATCTATTCATGCATTAACTATGATATTATTTTATTCGCACATCATTCACTTAAAAAACATTTCATTTAGTTCCTATTACATATTATTTCAGTCTTATAGTTTAAAATTAAGTAATAGTAATAATGTCAAAATTCGAATCAATTTATATGTTACAAAAATAATAAGTAATTTAAAATAATTTATTTATAGTGTCGTTGTATATAATAATTTATTTATTTATAAGCGATTTTTACTCTACTAAAATTGCTTGCATTCCAAATATTCCTGTATCGAGTAAAATGATTTGTTCAGAAGCCACTCCGTCAAAGCTTTTTTAAAAATGTTTCTGTTAATCGGTAAGTCTACTAGTTTCGATGGAAGCTTGTTGAATATATTTATAGCCATATAATATAAATTTTGTTTGAATAATGTCAAATTACATTTCGGAATAACAATTTTATTTTGTCTCGAACTTCGTGGGTCTTTTTTTATCTCTCTGACTTTAGTAAAATATTGTGGATTTTTTTTACAAATAAACACAGTTCACAAATATAAATGCAAGGCAAAGGTAATATTTTTAATTCTTTAAACATAGGCTTACAGGAGTCACGTCTTTTTATACCACATATTGCTCGTATGCATTTTTTTTGAGCTATAAATAGTCTTTTCATATCCACGCTATTACCCCATATTATTACAGCATAACGTAGCAAGGACGACACGTATCCATGATATGCTTGTAAGGCTATATTTTTAGAAGCGACTATTCTGACTCTATAAAGTGCAAAAACGAATTTATCTATTTTTGTAGCTAAACTATCAATGTGATTTTTCCAGTGTAAATGTTCATCCAGAGTTATGCCTAAAAACCGCGCTGTACTTACTACGTCAATATTGGAATTTTTATAATGTATATTTAAGTTTATTCTTTTAGATTTAGCTGTATGAAATTGTATTATGTTAGTTTTTGATATGTTAATTTTTAAATTGTTTTTGTTTAGCCATTCTATTACATTGGAAATTGTGTTATTAATTTTGTTTTCTAGTTGGTCAATATTTTTATTTTGAAACAGTAGTGTACAGTCATCAGCAAATAAGAAACAGTCATTTGTGGTCATTGATGTATAGTAAGAAGAGTAAAGGTCCTAAGATGCTGCCCTGTGGTACACCATTTTTTATATTTCGATAATTTGAACGAATGGTTTCTTTGATATTACTTTCCATTCTTATTATTTCTGTACACTGTTGTCTATTTCTCAAATAACTTTCGAACCATTTGTACGCTGAGCCTCTCATGCCATAGTCAAAAAGTTTTTTCATTAATATGTCATGATTCACACTATCAAAAGCCTTTGACATATCAAGAAATACTGCCACTACAGGGACTCTATTATTTAAAGATTCAATTACTTTTTTTAACAATTCAAAACAAGCTTGTGTAGTAGACTTTCCTTCCTGAAATCCGAATTGATTATTATTGATTACACTATGTTTATTAATGAATGATTTTAACCTTTCAGCCATTACTTTCTCAAATATTTTTGAAAATACTGGTATGAGTGTAATAGGTCTATAGTTTCCTATATCACTAGTGTCTCCCTTTTTGAATAATGGTTTTATTACTGAAAATTTCAGTCTATCCGGAAATGTACCACTTTCTAATGAAGCATTTATTATATGTGATAAAGGAGATTTAATACTTTTGGAGCATGCTTTAATAATATCTGTGTTCAGATCATCATAACCCACTGATTTTGTATTTTTCAACTTTAATATTATTCTTTCTATTTCTGTTTCTGTAGTTGGATATAGAAATATACTGTTTTGGACTTTATTTTGATTTGTGTTTTCTATTTTCTTGTTTTTATTTTCAGTTATTTCTGTATAATACTCATTAAATGCTTCACATAGGTCATGAGCGTTATTTAGATCTTTATTTTTATATTTTATGGTTTTAATTAAATTTTTTGTTGGTTTTCTATTTATATTATTATTTATAATTTTCCATGATGCCATACATTTATTTTTAGCATTTATAATGAATTTTGAATTTGTTATTTTTTGCGCCGAATTGAGGCATTTATTTAGTATCTTATTATATTTCTTATAATATGTTTTGTTTTTCTCCTTATCTTTTTTACTCGAATGCATATATTTATAATAGTATTTACGCTTTTCCCGACAGCTCTTTCTTAATCCTTTTGTAATCCACTTAACTTGTTTTGTATTATTACTTAATCTTATTCTTGTTATGGGGAAACATTGGTCATAAAACATGGTAAAAGTATCATGAAACATATTATAGGCTTCATTCGTATCTTTTATTTCTAATACATTTTGAAAAGTCAAAGAATTAATATATTTTATGAATTTCTCTTTATTTTCAATGTCAAAGTTTCTTTTCATTTCATACCAATGAAAATTTCTAATATAGTTGTCAAATGGAATTGATAGTATCTGGCACGTATCATGGTCTGATAGAAGCATATCATCTGTATAACCTTTTGCTCCGTAGATATTACTCACTATTAGATCTAGGCAGGCTTTTTTCCTTGTTGGAGTAGTAATATGCAATGTTAGATTGTAATTATATAAAATGCTTGTTAATATTTTTGTATTTTCGCTATTTTGCAAAATATTAATATTCCAATCACCACATAATATTATTTTATTTGATTTTTTATTTAAAGAATGTAATAGTTTTTGCAATTTTTCAAAAAATATTGATATATTTGATGTAGGGGTCCTATATATGCATATTATAATTAAATTAAATTTTTCTATTAATATTCCGCAGCACTCAAAGTTATGTTTTTCCGAAATTGT